CAGCCCCGGTGGTACTAGTAACGAAAAAGGATGGGTCAACCCGGTTCTGCGTCGATTACCGTAAACTAAACGCAGTCACGCTCGGCGATGCCTTCCCCATACCTCGCATCGACGACACCTTCGACAGTCTCGCAGGAGCGCGGTATTTTTCCACCCTCGATCTGGCGTCCGGTTACTGGCAGGTGGAGATGACGGAGGAGGATCGGCCAAAAACAGCATTCACCACCCCGATGGGCCTGTTTGAGTTTCGAGTGTTGCCGTTCGGACTCACTAACGCGCCCGCGACGTTCCAGCGGTTGATGGAGTTGGTGATGCGGGGCTTGCAGTGGGAACAGTGCCTGATTTACTTGGACGATGTGATAGTGTTCAGTAGATCTTTGTCTGAGCATTGGTCCAGGCTTCGAGAGGTGTTCCAGCGGCTGCGAGCGGCTCATCTCAAGCTCAAGCCACGTAAGTGTTACATCGCACAACGCGAGGTGGGGTACCTCGGGCATCGCGTCAGCGAGGCAGGCGTGCGCACCGATCCGGAGAAGGTACGCGCCGTAGTGGAGTGGCCACGGCCAAGGAATCTGACGGAGATCAGATCATTTTTGGGGCTCGCCACCTATTATCGTCGATTTGTAAAGGGATTCAGCGAGATTGCACGCCCCCTCACCCAACTCACCTCCCCTAAGCACCCCTACCAGTGGACGGGGGCCTGCCAGACGGCCTTCACCACTCTCAAAGACCACCTAACCCACGCCCCCACCCTTGCTTTCCCCGATTTTACCACCGATTTTATTTTGGACACCGACGCCTGCAGCAGCGGGCTGGGCGCGGTGTTGTCACAGGTACAGGATGGGACGGAACGAGTCATCGCGTACGCCAGCCGGACCTTGAGTGGGGCCGAACTGAACTATTGCGTGACCCGCCAAGAGTTGTACGCCGTGATTTTCGCATGCAAACAGTTCCGGCCGTATTTGTACGGCAGGAGATGTCGCGTACGCACTGACCATTATGCTCTGCAGTTTCTGCTTACATTCAAGGAGCCGCGGGGGCAGATGGCCCGGTGGTTGGCGCAGTTGCAGGAGTACAACCTGCAAATCGAGTATCGGGCTGGCCGGACGCATGCAAACGCGGACGCCTTGTCGAGGCGACCCACGGTGTACGCCGAGACGAGGGCGGAGGAGGCCTGCCCGTGTTTCACGGGGGGACGCTGCCGGCAGGCAACGGACCCCCGAGAGGCCGCGGCCACTGACCCCCCCCCAGCGAGAGAGAGTGCAGTGTGCGCCACAGAGACCCTCACAGGTGGCACTGAGGATCCCGTCGACCGCCCGGCAAGCGCGGGACCCGCGGCTCGGGACCCGATCGGACGGATCCAGGAGGACGTCGGCTGCGCCTTCCCGGGCCTAAACGACGAGCAGCTGAGACAGACCCAGCAGCGAGATCCGGATCTGGCGGCGGTGGAGGCGGCACTGCGAGAGAAGAAGGATGCACTACCAGGACCCTGGAGCGGTTTGTATGCCCGGTTGTGTGTGCAGAACGGAGTGGTACGGGAGTTAACCGAGGCCGGCCAGCCGGGGTGCATCTGTGTTCCTGCCCAGGTGCGACCCCAGCTGCTACGGCTGGTGCATGACCACCCACTCGGGGGCCACGATGGGGAACGACGCACTCGAGAGACCCTGCGTCGCCAGTATCTCTGGCCCAAATTGGCACAAGATGTGGCCGCCTGGGTGCAGGGCTGCCGGGCCTGTCAGCAGTGTGGGCAAAAGCCGGCGAGGTACCAGGTACCCCTGAGGCCGTTCCGAGTCAGTCGGACGAATCAGTTGGTCGGAATCGACCTGCAGGGGCCCTTTCCACGATCCCACCGGGGCAACCGATATATTCTCGTAGCGGTGGAATACTTCACCCGCTACCCCGTGGCGGTGGCTATCCCAGATAAAACAGCCCTTGTAGTGGCCCGGGCCTTCGTGGAAAACTATGTACTTAAGTGCGGGATCCCCGAACGAGTCATTACCGACCAGGGTAGTGAATTCGAGGCCGAATTATTTCAGGCGCTGTGCCGAGAGTTCGGGATCCAGAAGGACCGAACCACGGCGTATCACCCCCAGGCGAACGGGATGGTAGAGAGGATGAACCAGACTCTGGCCGGGAAGCTTAAACGCATGGCGGCCGCGAATCAACAGGACTGGGACGAACACCTTCCCTATGCCCTGTTCGCCTACACCACCACCGTTCACACCTCTACAGGACAGACCCCGTTCCTAATGATGTTTGGTCGCGAGTCTCGCCTGCCCGCAGATCTGCTGTTCGGTGTCCCTCCGCCGCAACGGGAGGAAGGGAGCCACCCCGTGGAGCACTTGCTGGAGACCCTGCGAGGGGCCATGGGCCGAGCCTACCCGCACGGAGAGGCCGCGCACCAGCGGCAAGAGCAGGGCGCCCGACCCCGTATGGAGCCCCCCTTCTACACTGCGGGCTCCGAGGTGTGGCTGTACACTCCCCGCGTCGGTGCCGGACAGGTGGGGAAGCTGACCACCTACTGGCGAGGACCCTGGATTGTGAGACGGCAGATCTCACCCTGGACGGTACTGATTCAGGGAGGAGAGAGGGGCCGGGAGATGGTGGTCAACATCCGCCGACTGAAGCCGTGGCGAGCAGCCCCCGAGGGAGGGAGCCCCGCCGTCCAAGTACCCCGAAACCCCGGGGTCCCCCCACCCCCCGTGCCCGGGGGCCTCGCGCAGTACATGGGCCCCACGGAGCCCCGGGCTCCGAGGGGCCCCGGGCGGGGCCGGGGGCGACGAGGACGGCGACCCTTAAACCCCACCGCCTCTGAGTTTGTTCCCCAGCCCGCAGGTGCCAGGGGCCGAGGGGAGCCGTTGGAATGGAGGAGGAGACCACCGCCGGAGCCCCAGGAGACGGAGCCGCCACCCCCGAGGCCAACCACAAGGGCCGGGCGAATCCCGCGGACCCCGCGGCGATACCTCGTGGGGGCAACCCAGGCGAGGTGCTCAAGTCAACCCGGGACGGGGACTGGCACCCCGGGGGGCTATGTGGTGCCACAGCGACGGGGCCGCTCTGCCGAGCCAGGGAGCCGCCCGGCTTCCCCCACCGCACTGCCCCCAATCACCCGCCCCACATAAGCACACACCCGCACGCATCCCCCCCCCCCCCCCCCCCATAGAGCTGGAAGGGAAGGTTACCCGATCGACCGGTTTTTATCCGAGAGACTCTTATCGGGATTAATTCTCACGGTTTCCGGCGATCAGGGAATTGGATGACCTCCCCCGTGCTACGTGGTACCGCGGCGCTGCTGCCGGCCTTAATATGGTATGGTCGCGGCGTGGGGCATTCGGCCACCGCGGTTGAGGCGCATTTCCCCCCACACACACCCCCACGAGTCGACGGGGCAAGCAGGGGAGGCACGGGACAGCATGAATAGCGGGGTCACAGGGGCTGTTGCGCATAGTCATGGAGGGTTGGGATAATTGCGCTTGAGCGCGCAAGCCCCATTGTTAGGAAGGGTAAGGGAGTAATTAGGATTTACGCCTTGCACGCAGCACACTGATTAGCATATCAACAGCGCCTGGGGACTGCCGTGCGCGGGCTTGGGGTGCACGAGCCCATTGTTCAGCGCAGCATCCCCTTTGGGAGGTAGGGAGGATAAATAGAGGAGCGCAGAGGGGAAATCTCTCTCTTACTCCAGCGCCAGGCGACCAGACGCAGCTCGAGCCAGCGACCCGGACGTCCGTGCGACGCACCGAGGCACGCGGTTAACAGAAGGATCAGCAGTGAGTAAGAAGGGGAATTAGAATCATAGCCGATAAATAGGGAATAGGTACAGGTTTAGTGGAATAGGCCAGCCTCGTCGACTCACTGATTCAACATCAATTCGCAGGTGGCATATAATAAATCATTAATAGCGAAGCGTGGTCTCGCGTGATCTTGTCGTGCAGTGTGAGCGTGTGGGTGCGCTGTGTGCATAGTGGTTCGCCACGTGAGTGAGCGCTGCGCGGAGCTGAGCGCGCGGGTTGCATGTGGGAACGCGTGTGGCACTGTGTGTGCGTAAGCTCGCGGCGTGCGTAATAGGCGTACCCCAGGTGCGCGATCATAACGCAAGCGGCCAGCAGACGGCGAGCGCTGCGCAGAGTGGCGCAAGAGTGGGTGTCGCGTGTGTTCACTCCGTGTGTGATACAGGTGCGCGATCATAACTTGCGTAGTTGGTGTGGAGTTGGAGTGCACGGAGCGGCGTGTGTGTGTGTGCATACGTTCGTTACATGTCGGATACGGATGCGCATTGGTAACGTGCCGCACAGGGCTATACTGCGAGCACGGCGTTTGATTGACGATGATGTGCGCACGTATGCTCGCAGCGTGGGAGCGCGGCGCGAGGCTGTAACAGTAGGGGCGTCGCATTCGAATGCCGGCGAAACCGTAGCGGGTAATAGGGAGGTGGGGTAACGTAAACGGAATAAGGGATGCAGGCGGGAGGGACCCCGGGGGCCAACGGCCCCCACAGAAACCCATGTTGCTGGCAGGGGCAACACTCCCTCTCCGTAGAAGATGGAAACAGATGGAGATTAGTCTACTTGCTCTCCCGCCATCCCTCAAGTCGGGGTCTGGGCACCTCGACAATCCACGGGAAGGAAGATCACACATACCCTGTGTGATCCACCAATTTATTCGAGAACCACAGCGCTTGATTGCAAGGGTCGTGGTTACCGCTTGGTTGAATTGACGAATTGTTAAAATACGAGGAGACATGGGGCTCCCTAATCATAATGCGGTGTTGCTTTGTGTGGGGCCGCCGATAAGAGGGTACCTGCCTAGCCTCGAGCCCTCGGAATATGCGCAAACTACTCCCCCAGCCCCCCCCCCGTTGTCACGCTGTGCTTGATGTGTCTGGCCACCTGCCCAGCGCTCAACACTGAACATGCGATGAGAGGGCTTTGTAAAAAAGAAAAAACCCCGAGCAGGTCCGACTCAAGACGCGCAACAGGGTAACACCTGAAATGTGCACTCGCCTGAAAGTGTTGCACTGTCGACTACTGGGCCCGCACGGCCCAGCCCTTGGGCACTGGAAGCCCCTTTGTTGATCTTTCGAGGCTTCTTTTCCACATTGCTGTACACAGCCTCGTCTGCAGACACCCTGGTAGGCTTATCGTACCCCGTATCTCTAGCCCTCGGAACCGCGTCTCGCGGGTTTGCATCCAGGCTGCAGTCGTCGGACGGAGGTTGCGCCGATGACATCAGTTCTGGATGCAGGCACTCGTGAGGTCGGCTTTGCTTTGCTTAAGGTAATATAGAAAAGCGAGAGAAAAACACACGAACCAGTTCTGAGACTATCCGTAAAACGGCGACGCACAGTGCATCAGACAGACAAGCATATGCAGGCTGGAGACGAGGATAATTCCTCGAGAGATTGTGACAAAAGGATCGCTGCTCCTGTCATGCCTTCTTCGCATGCCACATGACACCACCGAACTGCATGTATAATGCACGCAACCCATGTCGTAGGCCATCGGAGTAGAACGAAATTCGCCACACTGAAGTCCCAGTGGTACGAACAAAAAAACTGTTGGCCAATGATGGCTTTCACCGCACCGATGATGCCGAACAAAAACTAATCTGGATTACATTTGTCTCGTTTTCCTGCACCTCCGATTAGCACGGTTGGCTGCGAACAGCCCGAAATAAGTTCAACCTACACACAGAATATGGCGGTTGTCGAAAACAGCTGTGTGTGCATGACACATGTTGGTGGTGATGGCACGTGACATGCAAGGCATTCTGGGAGGACCAAATACCATGGCCATTATCGCACCATTTGCTCTCTTGACAATATATATGCACGGTATTATGTAGCGGGCTTTAGATTTTTCTTTTAACGGAATTTCAAACGTTGAGTGAGGCCATGTTTGGGATATTTAATCCTCGACCCAGAGATGATAAGTTGAGGGCAGAGAGGATACGTGTTTTGACACGTGAACAATTGTAGTTCGTCACGTTTCTACTGTATATATTGTATCCACTTAAAGTTTGGCTTTGCAATAGACACACGTGGTTACGAAATATGTATGGGCAATGCCATCAGAAACATTGCATGCTCTGGTGGGTCCTTAAATGAGCAGAAGGAACTCGCAATGTTTGAGGCAGATAAGGCAACGACTACCACAATGTTGCTAAATTTCCTTTTTCGGAAACAAAAAAACAACCTCGCTTAAATGTCCTTCCTCATGTAAACCACCCATCATCAACATCATCCATGGTCAATCCACTGCTGGATGAACCCCTTCCCAAGCCACCATGACGACTCATAATCCTGCAATGTACCAATCCACATAGCGGCCTACGCGCAAGCTCATTGCATTGCTCCATCTCCACGGTATATGGCCTTGCAGGGGTAATTCCATGCCTTGGCTGCCACTCCAGTATTCTTGATCATCGTCCGTCATCCCTTCTGGTAATGTGTCCGACCCAACCGTCATGGATTACGTCATTAACCTGTACATTAGAAATCCGATGGAGCTGTGCACTTTTAAATCTAGATTGAAAAAACATTTTTAGAATAAAATGTTGTGGTTAGTTTGTTGTCCTCCCCCCCCCCCCCCCCACGGTTGTCTACGTATGGTGCGAAATAAGTTCAACATACATAGACTCACACAGAGTACCATAGACTCACACAGAGACCCACATACTCTCACAGAGAACCATAGACTCACACAGAGACACATAGACTCACACAGAGTACCATAGACTCACACAGAGACCCACAGTCTCTCACAGAGAACCATAGACTCACACAGAGACACATAGACTCACACAGAGTACCATAGACTCACACAGAGACCCACATACTCTCACAGAGAACCATAGACTCACACAGAGACACATAGACTCACACAGAGTACCATAGACTCACACAGAGACCCACAGTCTCTCACAGAGAACCATAGACTCACACAGAGACCCATAGACTCACACAGAGACACATAGACTCACACAGAGTACTATAGACTCACACAGAGACCCACATACTCTCACAGAGAACCATAGACTCACACAGAGACACATAGACTCACACAGAGTACCATAGACTCACACAGAGACCCACAGTCTCTCACAGAGAACCATAGACTCACACAGAGACACATAGACTCACACAGAGTACCATAGACTCACACAGAGACCCACATACTCTCACAGAGAACCATAGACTCACACAGAGACACATAGACTCACACAGAGTACCATAGACTCACACAGAGACCCACAGTCTCTCACAGAGAACCATAGACTCACACAGAGACCCATAGACTCACACAGAGACACATAGACTCACACAGAGTACCATAGACTCACACAGAGACCCACATACTCTCACAGAGAACCATAGACTCACACAGAGACACATAGACTCACACAGAGTACCATAGACTCGCACAGAGACCCACAGTCTCTCACAGAGAACCATAGACTCACACAGAGACCCATAGACTCACACAGAGACACATAGACTCACACAGAGTACCATAGACTCACACAGAGAACCATAGACTCACACAGAGACACATAGACTCACACAGAGCACCATAGACTCACACAGAGACCCACAGTCTCTCACAGAGAACCATAGACTCACACAGAGAACCATAGACTCACACAGAGACCCATAGACTCACACAGAGACCCATATACTTACACAGAGTACCATAGACTCACACAGAGTACCATAGACTCACACAGAGACCCATAGACTCACAAAAGAGACCCATAGACTCACACAGAGACCCATAGACTCACACAGAGAACCATAGACTCACACAGGGACCCATAGACTCACACAGAGACACATATACTTACACAGAGTACCATAGACTCACACAGAGTACCATAGACTCACACAGAGACCCATAGACTCGCACAGAGACCCAGAGTTTGTTGTCCTTCTCCCCGCACCTCCAATTAGCATGGTTGACTATGTATGATGCGAAAGCAGTTCAACATATGTTCTGTAATCCATTACCAGCATTCGTATTTGTGCATACATTTCTGTTTTTTCTATATTCCGTGTTCATGGCCATGTTTTCTGAACCATATGTCATTGCACGCAGTACACACGGATTCCTTAGACGCATGAATACTATGTTACTTTTCATAATCAAGCTCAGCTTCCCAAAACTCCAAATCTGCGCTTGTCCGCCCCTTAATTTCATTTTTTTTTTATTATGATCTACCTTTAATCGCTGTCCCAGATTTCTCGGCTCTGTCATTTAATTGTGTCCCTCTGATAGCGATCTCAAATTGTTTGGCGAACTGGTTGTACCTTTGCTTTGCTGATATTTTTCCAGAGCCCAGCGTTCCATACTTCTCTATTAGGCTCCTGTCGAATTTCTTGAAGTTTTTTTCCCATTGGTGGACGTGACGGTGACGATATCGTCAGTCAACTGGAGATTTAGTTAATGTTCTCTGCGTTCATAGTTATGTCTTTGTTTCTCCCATGTGGACAGGCGTCACTATGAACATTTTTGCATGATGGCATATCACCTTTGTCTTACTCCCCTCTTGAAATGTACTGTGACACTTTCTGCCTGTCATTCTAGTGCGGCTCTTCTGCTTTATGGAAATAAAAAAAACGCCCCATTATCTTCTAAATGTTTTGTATTTCGGCCTGGGTTTGTGAGAGCTTCGATGATCAATACATTTCTACTTTAGATAAAGTGTCTTTTCGTAAGTCTTCAAAAGGCTAGGCGTAATGGTTAATTAAAGTTAATTGGTCTTTTCCAGAATCTGATTATTAGTATGTGGTCAATGGTGAAGAAACCTCTTCTAAACCCTGTTGGTTGGTTTCTGATTTGTTTATTACCGCACAATTGTTTCAATTGCCGAGCCAGAAGATGGAATCGCACCGGCGACCTCTGGATTGCAAGTCCGGTTAGACCAGGGGTCGGCAACCTACGGCTCCGGAGCCGCATGCGGCTCTTTACGGGCTGCTTCTTGACGATGAGTACGTATGTACTCAGATGCATTGCGGCTCTTGAAATACTGAATTTTGTACCGAATTGGAAAGAAATGGCTCTTCTTGTTATTTTGGTTGCCGACCCCTGGGTTAGACAAACTGCAGCGATTCACAAAAATATAACCGTCATTATTTGTTAACATTCTGTTGTCAGGGTTGTTACACAGTTCTGTGTTATGTTATTGTGCAAAAAGTGATCCCGTTTAAATTGATACATTGGAAAAGCATTTTGCTGCTCAGCAATTGGATCTGAGGAATCGTGGAGTTGATCGGATTAGCTCAACGTAGAATTTGGGTGGAGACTGGCGATTAGGTACTATTACGCCCAATTGTGCACCCCTAGTATTTTTTTACAACCCTTTGCTACAACATTTCTGGATGAAGGCCTGCCTGGTTATCGCAAAGGTCCACATTTCGATTGCCAATAACTTTAGCTGCGGTTGGCTTGACTGCCAAACCAGGAACACACTACACTATGACCCCAGTAACCTAAGTTCAATTCCCAGCCATGGTTTGCAAACATTCTTTGCGAGTGATATCTGAACAAGTTAATAAAGGGGGGCCCTCAACCAGCACTGACCAGCATGGCGAAATATGGTCAAAAAACTCCCACAACTGACACAGCATGGGAAGGCCTTCATCTGGCAATGGGCTGAGAAATTAGCCGTGCATTGCTGCACACTTCTGAAATGTTTTTTTCTGTACGTTGGTTGGAAGCAATTGCGAAAAAGCAGTGTACCCCTTCTCCGTCTTCGCAGAATGAGCAGTATGATAAGCAGAATAAACAGCACGCCCAATGCAACGACTCCGACAGCCACCAGCTTGACTATATCCAAGTGATCTGTGAAGGCAAAAAAAGCATGTCAATTCAGCCATTTGGATGGTGTTTGTGAAAGGGTGACAAGGCTGAAGCACTTAAAGTTATTGTCGTCATGCTCCTATGAAGATTTTGAAGGCGTTCATCACCTGTTGATGGATATAATGGTAGTGATGATCGTGGTATAGGTGATGATGAGGATGGTGATGATTATGGATGTAATAATGGTTAAGGGCGTTGATGATGGTGGTGGTGCTGATGACAGTGGAAATGATCATTGCAATAGAGGTGTTGATGATGGTGGCAATCATGGCCAGGTTGATTCCACTAAAGTTCCTGCATGGACAAGTCACCCAGAACTCACTGCTCTTGCGCAGATAAAAGGTGACGCATAATTTTCTGATGAATCTATTCATATTACCATTGTGTATTCCACAATGCTACTGGGACACGGACAGTAAAATGTGTGATTTGACAAAAATAAGATCCAGATCTCCCGTCACCCCCAAACATCAAAGCGGAAAAGAGAAGTACCACGTTCTACACTGATCTACAAATATATGATGTGCTCTGTGTGAATGAGTTTAATTCGCCCAGTTTCATAACAGACATCGAATAATCACAGCGTGCGATGCCATTCACTCCGGAAAGTCCATTAAAGACGCCCCGTTAATCGACAGAGCCTTCACTCAACAAGGAAAGGACCGTGTTGGAAAATCCTTGTGATATTGAGTTTTCATCACCTTTGTCTTCGTAATGGAGTGTGATAGTTTCCTGGAGCATTGACGGGAGGTTTACACCCCCGACAGAGCAAGGACACTTCTTCACATAATGGTCTGCTGATGGCGTGAAGTTAAGTCTGCTTGTGATGTTGAACGTTCCATCTGGAAGCGCCGTTTCAGTCTTCGTGATCACTCCTCCAGTGATGACATCCTCGCACCAGGTGATGTTTATCGAGCCCCTGGGGTACACGTTCGCTACACTGCAGCTCAGGGAGGCCGGTTTTCCAATCGCCAGTGCCGGCACATCTTGCTGTGCGAGCATGCTGTCTGGTACCGCTGTGATGCAGAGACAGAGAAGCGGACATTAACACATGCTTTAGTCTATACGATTAAACGCTTGTGAAGTTTAGGTTAGACAATCATGGCATTAAGCCCACGAGTATTATTGTAGTCAGTTTAACACACAGTAGGGTTTCGCGGCCAATAGTATCTATAATAGAGGTGTTTGGGTGAGATGGCGTAAATATAAATGTGTCGTTAAACCCGCCACCAAGACAGAGCCAATCAGTAAGGTTTGTCATGTAAATAAAATATGCAAAGTCGTTACTAGTTTAAGCACACAGGTGTGTTGAAGAGGAACCCACAACATTGTAAATGATGAAGCTGGAACCCACAACATTGTAATTGTTGTGAGTTCCAGCATCATCAGCGTTGCTCAAAAGATGCAGACATTGTACTCGAATTGTCAATATTGTGGGTTTTACCCACCAACACACCGGTGTGCTTAACTAGTGTAATAGTGTTCCAGGAGACCTTGACACCGGGGTTGGAGGCACACGTATTTATTCCGTGTCGGTACAGTACAGCACTGACATACAACACTGGAGGGGGTATCGGCCCACTCACCCGTCTAACTGGGGATACACTTCTAGCTACGCCTAGCCTACCCCTGGGTCCTCCACTAATGGGCTAGGGAAGGCTAGCTAGCCCAACACTGGTAAGTCGGGCTCACGGTACCCGGAGTCCCAGACCAGCTCTTACAAGAGCACCGGCTCTGGCTCTCGGGACCACGCCGCTGGCTCGATCCTGTCCGGCCCTGACAAGGGCGGCGATCCAGGGGAGTCCAGGGCTCTATCTATGACGATCTTCGATCTTCACTGGTTAGCTTCAACATCTCTCCCTGAGCCCTCCGGCTCATCCCCTTTTATACCAAAACCCCCCGCTCCGAGTCAGCCCCCCAGGCTGCCCGATGCGGACGTCGCTGGGAGCACCTGCCCGTGCACCGACATAGCCACGCCCACTGTGTTTCTTTCCCATCTGATCCCATTGTATACAGCCCCTCCGTAACACCCCTACATCACCCCCCCCCTATACAGCTCGCAGCCGTCCCGACTGCAACAAACAACAATAAAAGTGCATTTACCCCTTGAACCCGCGTGTGCCTCACAATTTTTTTCAACAATAACAACAACAAGAACACCAACAAGAACCACAACAGCAAGAAGAGAATTAACCCGGTGCACCCCCCTGAATAAATACGAATACCGTAAGAGCACCCTATATACAATTTGTAGGAGAACACACCACACACACAACACACAATGAACACAACATATGTACATTTCTCCGGGCCTCACAAAAGTCTGCGCATTTTCGCGCGCGTTCTTGCAGCAGGCCCGTCACACGGGGCAACCCCGGATGGCGGACTGTTGGGTGGCAACCGTCCGTGTCCGAGTGAGTCACTTTCCGTTTCCGAGTGACCCTTGGCATCCCCAGGAGGGGTTGTCGGGCGTGAGCCCGTCACTCCCGGTGCACCTGGGGGTGGGACAGCTGGCAGCACGTTAGGTGAGAGCAGCGGAGACGGACCCTGTGAGTCGGCGGACCCCCCACATGTCTGGCCATGCGTGTGCGAAGTGGGAACTCGGACTGCAACGAAGGGTTTCTTTCAATCTGGAGGGGTGCACAAACCACCGCCGCTTCCCCCATTTGATGTGTACACACTGAGGCCGCAAAACCTGAACCACCTCCACAGGGCCCCGCCACGGCCGCACCAGTTTAGAGGAGGTTGCAAGCGGTACCTGTGGACAGTGTAACCATGCCTTGTCACCCGGTTTCCACTGCAGTACGTGCGCCCGACCCAGCCTGAGCCTCTCGTTAGCCTTCTGGCGGAGGTCGGAATTTTGCATAGCAGCCTCCCGTGCCTCTGTTAATTTAGCAATATTGAATTTAACGTGGTCGGCCAATTTAGTTTTACCCCGCGGCGCGGAGATCCGCAGCTGGGTCTGAACAGGTGGGTCAGGTTCGCGGCCGTACATCAAGAAGAAGAGGGAAAATCCCGTTGCCGCATGGGGAGCCATTCTATATGCTGCCAAGACCCCTTGAATTTGAAGGTCCCAATCGGTCTGTGAGTCCGAGACCTGTTGGGACAGCATCGACGTGATGGTTCGATGCAGACGCTCGACCATCCCGTCAGTTTGCGGATGATATGGGGAGGTACGAATTTTTTTCGTGCCCAGGAGCTCACAGACTTCTTGGAGAAGTTTACCAGAAAATTTTTTGCCCTGGTCGGTCAGCAGCCTCTCCGGAACACCTTTGTCCAGGACGTATCCCTGGACAAAGGCCTCCGCGATGGCTGCTGCCGACTGGTTGGCAAGGGGCCAGGCCATAGGCCAGCGCGTAAAATATTCCACCCCGGTCAATAAGTATCTGTTGCCCCTGGGGGTAGCGGGGAATGGGCCCAGAATATCAAGCGCGACAAGCTCGTTGACCCTGGAAACCTTGATGGATTGCAAAGGCGGGTTAGACTCCCGTGCTGGTGGTTTACGTTGCGCACACCGAGGACATGATCCCAACAGATCCCCGACATCCCTTGTCATGCCCGGCCAAAAAAAATCTAGCTGGAGCATGGCGAGGGTTTTTTGAGTCCCCAGGTGGAGGAGGCGCTCATGAGCGGCCCACACCACCTTACCCCGCAACCCAGAAGGGACCACCAGCCGGTGTCGATGGGATCTCCCGTCCCAATGCATTAACAGACCCTAGACCATCTCCCATGAGTCGACATCACCCCTCCCCCGCCCAGCACTTCCGACGCGACGACACAACGCGAGGAGGGAGGTATCCTCCATCTGGAGGCGCCCCCATTCAGCAACAGGCAACCCCAAGAGGGAATCTTTTCCCTCTTGTGCTATTGAATCCGTCATCGACGTTGCGTCAGCGGCGGCCGCCAAGACCGGAACGGACATTTCACTCGGAGGCCTGCAACGTCCCGACCCCAGGAGGCATGCGCATTTGGAGGTGGTTGGCATCCATGACAGAGCGTCCGCATTTGTGTGGCGAACGTCCTTACGGTACGTAGTTTCGAAATCGAAGTCCTGGAGAATCTCCAACCATCGAGACAATTGCCCCGATGGTTGTTGAACTCGCAGGGCGTACTGTAGTGCCGCATGATCTGTGCAGACTGTGAAATGCCGGCCGTACAGATATGGGCGATACTGTTGGATGAAGTTAACAATTGCCAACAGTTCCCGACGGGTGACACAATACCTTTGCTCCGCTGGAGACAACACCCGACTACCGTACGCGTCCGTGTCGAGCAAAAAGGGTGTGGAAAAATCAGGGTACTTGGTTTACCCTGATTTTTCCACACCCTTTTTGCTCGACACGGGGGGAGCCTTAACCAATGCGTCCCGGAGGGATCGGAAGGCAGCCTCCTCCTCCTGGCCCCAGTGGAACCGGACCCCCTTTGATGTCAAAGCGTGTAGGGGCTTTGCAATCATTACAAAATCCGTGACAAACCGTCGGTAATACGACGCGAAACCAATGAAACTCCTGACCTCTCCCACAGAGGTGGGAGTCGGCCAGGAGCTGACACACTGCGTTTTGGCGGGATCGGTAGCAATACCTGAGCGTCCGACGATATGCCCCAAATAACGCACGGATTCGCGTAACAAATGACATTTTTGGGGTTTAAATTTCAAATTAGCAGCCCGCATTTTGAGGAAAACCGCCCGCAACCTCTGGAGATGTTCGTCGAATGTTTTGCTAAAGACGATAACGTCATCCAAATAAATCAAGCACCAGTCCCATTGTAACCCAGCCAAAACCAATTCCATCAATCGCTGGAAAGTTGCCGGCGCTGAGTGGAGTCCCATCGGCAAACGGTTGAATTGGAACAGGCCGTGCGGTGTACGGAATGCAGTTTTGGGTTTCGAATCATCGTCCAGAGGAAGCTGCCAGAATCCCGAAAGCAAATCCAATGTGGAGAAGAATTGCGCCCCCGCCAAGGCATCAAGCGATTCGTCCATCCGTGGGAGCGGGTATGCGTCGGCAACCAAAATTTTGTTGAGGCGATGAAAATCGACGCAAAATCGCAACGAGCCGTCATGTTTTTTAACTAAGACAATCGGCGCTCCCCAAGGGCTGGTGGAAGGAGAAATGATGTCGGCGGCTAACATGTCATCAACGGCCGATTTGACATGGTCCTTTTCGGCGGGACTTAACTGAAAAGGATTCTGGCGAATTGGCGCGCTGTCACCCGTATCAATATGGTGACGCAGCAGATGAGTACAGCCCAGATCGTATTTGTTCCGACTGAAAACGTCGGAAAATTCACGCAGCAATGTCTTAAGCTTTTGACGCTCTAAGTCCGACAGGTCCGTCGATCCCGCACAAAGCGCCTCGAGCCACCCCTCATCACTGTCCGTATGTGGTCGCGGCAGAGCGGCAGCGCTCACGTGATTTACGACGGGCTCCTCACAGGGCACCGGCGTTGCGTGAGCAAGCACGGTCCCCTGTGGAACCACCACCGTCCGCGGCCCCACATTGAGGACCGCGATGAAAGGGTCCCCGTCCCCTTTAACGATGGTCTGGGCCGGAATTAAATGAGGTCTGCTAACCCCGACCCTAGATGGCCCCAGCAGAACCCCCTGGTCCCCAATCCCTTTAGCGAAAGGCCGACGTAATTTAAGAGGCACCAGCATCTGGGCCCCCGGCGGTACGCGTACCGTTCTGTCAACGAGCGCCAGTACCGTTGCGAACGCCGTCCGACCCGCAGAGGGAGACGGTAGAAATGCCATACGTCGGCCCGACGGGAGCTCAATACAGCCCTGGTCGATTAAGATATGTATCGGCATTTTGCCCAGGAAGTCCGTCCCCAGCAGGCACGGAACCGCCAGCGAGGAGGAGACAAAAATTGGGGCCGATAATTTGATATCTCCGATACAAATTTGCGCTCGAATTTGCCCAATGATGCCCAGTGAGCCCCCGTTAGCAGCATAGAACGGAACATCAACGGGCAGCAAAGGACGGCTTTGAACGGGAAGAATGTTGTAAATCAATTCCGAAATAATGGTCGCCGATGCTTCCGTATCGACCAGGAAGCGCACCTCAACCCCATCAATGTGCCCCACAACGGCTGACGACCCCGACAACGCGGCCACAACGCGATGGGCCAACACGGACCACTGGCTGGGTTGGATATTAGTCCCCACAGTGGTACGTGTTGGCGCGACGGTGTGCAATCTCGGCCCCCCGTTCGTTGCGGTGCGTGAGTGTGTGACGGGTGTGTGCGTGGGCCAAACATGAGGGGTGCCGCGACTCGCCGGGTTATGTTGGAGCTTGGGAGGAGGCGCGGCGTCCTGTCGATGCGTCGCCCCGCACTGCCGAGGAGAGCGGCATCCCGAGGCGACATGACCCCGGAGGCCGCACTTGTAGCAGCGCGGGAGCGCTGCCGATGACGATTGCTGGTCGAGGTGGCTCGGTTCGTCCCGAGCCGGCCGTACTCCCGCTCTCCACTCCAGCTGACGGTCGACGGCACAGATTTCCTCCGCCGGGAGGGTGGCTGCAGCCACGGCACGGCCGGTCACCGCCTTGCTGGCCTTTCATCGCTGCGATAGTAGGTTGGCGTGGAGGTGTTGTGTGGCCTGGAGGGAAGACATCTCAGCGTCGTCCTGCGCCACGACGACGATGTCCAATTGGTCAGCCAGCAAGAGGATCTTTTCGGTGACCATGGCGTCCACTCCTTCATCGTCCATTTGCGGGAAAGCCGTTCTTGCAAGCGCCAGGAGACTCGTGCGATACGCCAGGGGCGACTCCTTTGCACCCCGCTGACGATCGTAAAATAGCTGTCTGCAGTCAGACGGTGGTCCGTAGACTGCAGCCAGCAACTGAAGTGCCATCTGCAGCGTGGTGCGCTTGTCTTTCGGCGCCGAGGTGAGAGTGGCGAGGGCATCGCTGTCGAGCAGCAGTGGAAGGTCGCCCCCCGTTGCTCCCGTCACTCGTCTTGGCTTCGGCTTCGGCGCGAACGACGAGTGGCATCGCCGGTCGCACCACTGGTGACGCGCTGGCCGCTGTCGATGACGTTGCAGCCACTGTACGGCCGACGTCGGACGCGAGGCTCAGCCTGGCCACGCCCTCAGCAGCTGCTGCGGCGCTGGCGGGAGAATCAAACTCCGGCTCCGTCGAAATGGCGGGAACCCGTGCTGGTCGTTGGCTGTTGTCGCTCCGTGGCGGTCCACCAACCCCCAGCCGCGTAATTTGGTCGAGCGTGGCGGCAGCAGCTTAGAGCAGCTCCGCCAGTCTCGCGTGAGCCTGCCGCAGTCCATCTGCTGACGGCTCCCCTCCATCCAGACGCTGCGGTGTGGACGTATCCGGCCCCGGCTGCTCGGCGTCGCCTTCAGCCATCTCGGGCTCAACTTCTGCAGCGTTGTCCTCCGCCCCCGGTACCCTGGCACGAGCTGTCCGTCGCGTGTCCATGTTCGTGGATGATCACTTCTAACACCAGATGTAATAGTGTTCCAGGAGACCTTGACACCGGGGTTGGAGGCACACGTATTTATTCCGTGTTGGTACAGTACAGCACTGACATACAACACTGGAGGGGGTATTGGCCCCCTCACCCGTCTAACTGGGGATACACTTCTAGCTACGCCTAGCCTACCCCTGGGTCCTCCACTAACGGGCTAGGGAAGGCTAGCTAGCCCGACACTGGTAAGTCGGGCTCACGGTACCCGGAGTCCCAGACCAGCTCTTACAAGAGCACCGACTCTGGCTCTCGGGACCACGCCGCTGGCTCGATCCTGTCCGGCCCTGACAAGGGTGGCGATCCAGGGGAGTCCAGGGCTCTATCTATGACGATCTTCGATCTTCACTGGTTAGCTTCAACATCTCTCCCTGAGCCCTCCGGCTCATCCCCTTTTATACCAAAACCCCCCGCTCCGAGTCAGCCCCCCAGGCTGCCCGATGCGGACGTCGCTGGGAGCACCTGCCCGTGCACCGACATAGCCACGCCCACTGTGTTTCTTTCCCATCTGATCCCATTGTATACAGCCCCTCCGTAACACCCCTACACTAGTAACGAATTGGCACGTTCTGTTTACGTGACAAACCTTACTAACAGGCTGTGTCGGGTGGTGGCGGGTTTAACGACACATTTATATTTACGTGATCTAATCCAAAAAACATCTCATATATGTTGTTTTATGTTCGTGTTTTAAGTTGTGCTCTATGTTGTGTTTTATGTTCGTGTTTTATGTTTATATATAAAGGGAGTGGATTTGATGTATTCGATTTCAGTCAAGTTCCGAATGCAAAAAACCGACACTGCTTCTGAACGCGCAATAACATTTTCACCACAGTATTGCAAGCATTGGTACATTGACACGTAAAGTACGTAGTCTCACATGCAATACATACTGTTATTTAGATATTTGGGACTGACAAATTAAATTGTTAAAGCTCCCAGAAATGTGTCTTTACGTGCATAATTATAAAGCCTTGTCAATAAAAATGCTTTAAAAAGACTCACCAGTAACCTTCAGTTCAATTCCCATTCTTGCAACTATTACTTTACGATCTACTTCCAAGTAAAAAAAATAAGTGTTTGCATCCGATATTCTGATGTCTTCAATGAGTAGAGAACAGTTGCGTGCTGTCAGGTCACCAGGTAGAGACACGCGGCCTTGATAGTCCATTATTCTTGTGGATTTGGCACTGACTCGGTAGACAAAGTTTTCAAAATCTCTCGCATCGTTGAGGAGCCAGTAGCCTTCCACGTGTGACGATTTAATAAACGTTTCAGTGCAAAATGAGCACGGGAGCATGGCCTGTGCACCCTTCGTCACATGCACCACCTTGGCCCCATACGTCACTGAGGAGTCAACGCCGCCTCTACCTGTTGTGAATAAAGAGTCACGTTTGCATTCGAGCGTTCGTTTTGGGAGTTCTTTCAGTAATATTTATTGTGTGTATTACTTTACGACTTTTTGTATTTGTATTAATTTTGAAGATATATTTTTCTTGCAAAGATTCTACGCTGATTGCATCCACGCCGCTTTTTCGAACCACACAATTAGGCCATTTCTACACATTTTTATTGAATTTGCTCTGTTGTCCGTATATATATTTGACGCTTAATACCTTCGGATTTACTAAGCCCAACGAGCTGACATTTTGTACACACAGACTCGTCGTCTCGCGAGACAATTAAAGATTTCATTTCAAGAACCGGTCCAGATCCCACTGATCCTGGGTCTGTGTTTTTTGCTTTATTTTTAATTGCACAAGTTTTTTTCTGTTGCATTTCGCATGGCACACAACGGCGTAATTTGGTTCTACTAAATTATGACGAAGGCTTCTTGTCATAACTTCCCATTAATGTTTTTTTTTCTTCTCCAGGTTAAATGTATCAGCCTGGTTAAGTCACCTGCCTGTAAACAAGTCATATCTATTGCCAACACACAATGGTGCAGGTAATGGGATTTAACGATGTGTTTTGCATGAATGGCAGTTACTTGTCACTTACACAAGACTTGTAGATGTTTATATGAACTACCACTTCCTTTGGTGTTCGTTGCTGTGCAATGGTACCAGCCGGAATCTTCCACCTGTACTCGTCGTATTGTTATTCTTTCTCCGAACGTGGCCAGTGACTCTTTGTGCCCATTACGCATTTCTCTGACCCACGTGACGTTGTGAGCCGGGGGCCAGCTGTCACTCTCACACATCACAGTCACATTCATGCCCTCTGTCACTTTGTCGGGGTCAAACTTTACTTTCATGTATCTGGGTATATATGGATCTGAAAATACAGATGAATAACATTGGGAGAGAATTATGGATTATGGTGATGGAAATAATTGAATGATATTGAACACAAATGTTTACTTAATAAATTCGCAATATCATTGTGTTACTTCACACACATTAAATAAATACCAAATATCTTTGTAGTTCATCCATTTTAAACGCGAACAAAAATGTACATTTCAACTTCACTTGTCCATTTACGAGTATCTTTTACGTCAAGTATAGATAAGTATTAAAGGAAACCCACTAATATATATATATTTTTATTAATGTCAAAATCCTGTGGAACGCGAGGAGCGCCGAGCAATCGGAATGCATTGCACATTTCAAGTATCCCTGGGAAGAGAATGTCAGAGTGCACAGGTAATGGTTCCATTTATCGCAATGGTGAATAGTTACCGTGTAAAACAGTTGTCAACGAGTAATGTGATGGTGAATGTATTCACCGATGAATCACGACCTTAAGCTCACGACTCATGCATTCACCTGCAGGCGTGAACGGTGATGTTTGTATATCTGTATATGCTCTATTTCATGGGATGTTTGTATATCTATATATATATTGTATTTAATAGGATGTTTGTATATCTATATATGTTGTATTTAATGGGTTTATATAACCCCAGCCAGCTATTAAAATCACGACATTCACTCCAAGTGTTTAAAAAAAAAGAGGATTCATTATTGAATCAAACGGCTCCGTTGAACCATGACAAGTTATTGCACGGCAGGTTGGGCAAATCTGCGTACACTTACTGTCAACTCGTGGTGGCACTGAAACTAAAAAGGTCAAATCAGATTGCATAAACACTACGAATTACGTATAAGAATGTATCCTAAATTGTGATGTTAATATTTGAAATCGAAAAATGCATCCACAAGCAAATAAGTAAAAAAAAAACTTTGTTAAAGATATGCAATGACTATATTTTCAGGACGACTTAAGAACATGAATAAAAATTAGTGTGGCATACATTTCACTTCCAGCGTAATTCCTCCCGCTCCAGTGAAGCCCTTCGTCACCGCAAACCGAAAGAAATAAGTTGAAGCATCATAACTATTTACGTCGATAATCTTAAGGGAACAGTTATTTTCCTTCAGGTCTCCAACCAGAGACATCCGGTCCTTATACGATGCCACTGGAGCTGTTAGGCTGTACACGTGAGGTGATGAATGCGCGTAGCCTTTCTTCCAAACAGCCCGCGTCACTTCAGATCCATCACTCTCGGGGTACGCGAAGGAACAGGGAAGAATCACGGTGCTTCCAGGGCAGGTCACGACCTTTGGTCCATAATTCACTCCCCACGCCACTTCAGCTGCCACTAGAAGCAGAGCCAACAGAAGCAGCAATAATCACGGTCATGTAAAACCTGTCAACCAGCAGCCAAATATGGGTCATGATACGAGTGAAGCATCCATAGAATGTGATGTGACCAGCAACCGATGATATAAAATGTAAAATGTTTCTATTTTACACATGACCAGTCAAAATCATTCGTCATACCATTACGTGATCATCACACGGTTGGTGAATCGGTTGCTTAATTATCATATTGCGAAAGATAGGTCCTCTATCTATTCATAAAAAATATATATACATTTACAGCTAAGCGGGTTGATGTCATGGTGTCATAGTTATCACACTGGAATTATCATCCACAGGTTGCCGAATAGATTAAATCTCCCGGCGTGGCAGTTTGAACAATGGGCAAGTTTCTACGATCGCCCTGCCATGCGCACCCAGCAGTATAAATGGATGCCCCGCAGTCGATTGGCAGTCCACGTGTGGTGGGGCAAAGAGTGGGTGCTCATGCCTCTTCCCAGGCACGTGACCAGTGCGGACAGTGAAGGCCAAATAGCCACTCGAAAGAAGCTCTCTGGAGCTCATGCGCGGGGAAGTTTCTGCTAGCAGTGCTATGAGCTTAAGTGATTGCAGGCCTGCACATTTACGGCTAATATATATGTCAATAGATTTATAGACTCCATCACGTCCTCAAGGTCTTTTGATCTCCAACTGCTCGGCACTTCCAGGTCTAGGTTGTGCTCTTTTGGTGATCGGGTTGTTGTTAGCGTGGCACCCAAGCTATGGAACGCCTCGAAATCAGGCAATCGGAGTCGGTAAATATGTTCGTCTGCTTTGAAAACCGAACGTGGCCTTCCCTCTTGAGTTTAGTCGGTTGTCCCTGGTTCTGTTTTTGTTTCCTCCTTTTCATGCATTGCGCATTGGGATCCTAGGCTGGAATACAATTTAAATTGTATTATTATTAATGGCAAGAAGCAGGTCTTTGGTTTCATGATAAAGTTCCAGGAGCAGCAAAAAGAAGACGTGCGCCCCATGATGAGGGCATTTCATTGCCAATGTGCCATGGAGGGGTGGATATGGCGGGCATTCTGGCCATGTTCGTATGAGACGGTGTAACATTTGTGTGCATGGCATAACGTACCTTCTGGGTGGTGTCTCAAGGCAAACAGACAAATGACACCGATCCACATTTTGCCAAACACTGCCAAGCCTTGCACGTAGAAATGCATTCTCATCGCATTGAAATAAAAAAAACCTGGGTACAATGGCACGACACAGCAGCACAGAAGCATTGTTTTACTTATTTTTACCCTCATTGATTATCATCAATGATCAGCTAAGAAAACATGTAAAAAAAATTCGAAAAAACATTCAAATGACTCATTGTAAAACATCTCGTTATAATAAGTCTTGGAAGGCTGTAACATGAAGTGATGATGTGAATATTGTTACCAAAACCGGGGAATTATATTCACGATTTAGTACAAACATTTGCCGCAATACTTCCACAGAATTATAAAGTACTCCATTTGTACACAAATCGGTGTGTGTACATCCACACCACTGCATGCATCTCGTGCCACGTGTTAACATCTGCGCTGGGAATACTTCACAAAGATGTCCAGATGCGGTGCCGCGTCAACCTCCTCCTCGTGCCTTGTCGGGTGATCATTAGCGACACTAAAGATTTGACCATTATAACAATCTTTTATCTTTGCATATATACACAGGCAATTATACACTGATGGAATGCATTGATCAAAAGTTTCAATGACCACTGCAATCCCTATCTCCATAGTTTGGGTCTAAGCCGGTGGTGTAAATTACATTATTTATTGATAGGAACCAGCCTTCCACTAGGACAATCACTATTGACTTCACATCAAAAGTAATCTTCTCATTATATTAAGCGTAGAGGGACAATGAGTTAAGGCCTCCCGGCAACAGGGATTAGAGCTCTCAGCCTTCTGAGTGGGAGAATAACGCTCGAACCACACAATCTGGGTTGTCGATGTTATATCTGCACTGATGCTCGTTTGAGCAGAGATACAAGGGGACAATAGACTTGGTAACATTAACCAGCCCAAGCACACTGTGCCATTATGGGAGTTAGGTGCTCGCGAATAACACTTTCCACAATAGTCTGTAAAAGGCTGTAGGAGGGATCTTTGTGATTCTGGAAGTTATCTCCTATCATGGCTGCAAGATTTGTACGGAATGTAAAATTACTAAAATCTAGGAATAATAGGGTACGTTTTGCACGGCGTTTTAACTTTTGGTAAAGCTATGAAGGTTTTAAACTATTTTAAACTAAACTATTTTTTCATTTTACCAGGTAAGGCCCACGGAGCTTATTAGAGCTCTTTTTCAGAAGTGACCTGGCCACAAATGATAGCTCAACGAAGTGGCTTACCGTGTGGAAATGTATACAATCCAACTACCCTAAATGCATGTTTCTTAATGTTGCGGGAAAAACACAAGGACCGGAGAGAAATCTACACGACCTTGGGTAGAACATGCAAACTCCAAATATACATCAGGCGTCAGGGTCGGGATCGAACCCGCGACCTCCTGTATACCAGGCGAGGGTGATAACATCTCGCCCCAAACAACAAGTGCAAGAAAAATGATCAATATAAAGTATACAACAATGAAAATTATCCTTACCTCTGTAATGTCCAGCCTTATTTTGGATGAAATGAAAAGCAATGCTCTCATCTGAGAAGTTGATTAAATCAGTTTTCTTGTTTTATACTTCATGAGAAAAGGGAACCAGCCTTGTGACGTCCAAAACTCAGCTTCTTGTTTCTTTTTTAATAAATGGGAACTCGCACGTTCTTTGGACACGCCTGTCCCTCCCTCCCACCATCTCTGCAGATAGCCAATCAATGTTTTTCATGATAGAGGTTTTTTTGGTTACATCGCGTAAATATAAATGTCGTATAACCCGCCACCACCCGACACAGCCAATTAGTAAGGTTTGTGACGAAACAAAACAGGCCATTTTGGATAGATTTTCTAATTAGTCTTGGCCAGTAGTAACTAGGCTTGCACAAAACTTCAACATTATCAAAATCAATTGAGTATCCTTGTGCCACACGTGCTCTGCTTCTGCTGACAGTTGTATTTGGGAGTATTTAATATTCGTTTGGTGTTGATAATTGGTATTTTACCCTTCTATCTGGCAACAAAACTGACACCTTTTTTAAAGGAGTCATGTTTGCATAGACCACAATACCTGCAGCCATAATGCAAAAAAAGTGTCCGTTTTGTTGCCAGATAGAAGGGTAAAAAAACAATTATATTTTTTACTGGCAAATGAGGTTCCAATGGTGTAAATGCTTATCCCGAGCTCTCATACTCTGATGGTGCATTGTCTTTGAGTTGTGCGCCTTTTGGCGTCATCTGGTCCAACCCATGTGAGACTCGGCTCTAACGAAAGCTGTCTCGGGTGTGGACCAATCAACTTCAATGACAGTGCATATATTATCAGAGTTATGTTTTTTGTTTGCATTATGGCTGCTTGGTATTGTGGTCTATGCAAACATGACTTCTTGTAAAAAAAGGTGTCAGTTGTGTTGCCAGATAGAAGGGTAAAAAACAATTATCATATTTTTTACTGGCAAATGAGGTTCCAATGGTCCTTTGGTGTTCTTTTGGTCTCGTGCTGATCATTCGTCCTGTCTGACCAACATATCATTTGCCACAATAGCAATTCATCCGGTACACACTTTCTATTAATGGCTTTGGTAGTTCATCTTTAGGACCATATTATTTGTTTCTGTATTTTATTTATCATGCCAAATCTCACTCGGATGGTTTGTTTTTCGAAAAATCTGTCTAGTTCAGCAGTTACTCCCGCAATATACTCTATTGTAATAGATTTAATTTTATTTGCTTTTGGCATTCAATGCCCTGTTGATCTTGTGCATCATTGTAACCGTTCAATTGCAGCACTTCTTTTAACACGTTTAACTTCACTTCTCAGACCATCGCCATCTGACACTTTCGTAGCCCGATGTATGAGCGTCACAATGAGAGAGGATTTCTGTTCGGGGTGATGGTATTCACTCTGGCATTCAGACAGGCGTCATTGTGCCTTTTCTCTGGTTGAACGCTGTGCGGGTTCTTCTTATTATTACACGCTTTTATTTAACTCACTATTGTCTGTTGTCATTGTATCCTCTAATCTTGTAACTCAATTTTAACCCACTTCCCAATGCTGGTATCGACTGCAAACTTGGTATACTTACGTCATACTGATGACAATACTATATTCTATCATAAAATATATATATTTTTAAACATTATTTTTTATATGTTATGTTTCGGCTTGGGTCTAATTGTCCACGTTCAACTAACGTTGGCTGTAATTGCCCACGGTCCCTTACGTTATGACAAGCTACGGGGCCACTTCCTGGAGTCGTGGAGTTCTTCTATCACTACAGTACATTCATGTTGACGCTGTGACGATCGATATGTCTTTACTTTTTAGTACATTTCATAAAAGCGTGTTTTAAAAAAAGTTTTTGAAATATATTTTATTTTACCATTTTGGCTGCCCTCCCGAGCAGAACTTCCAAAAAGTTGGATATCCAAAGCTCTTGCTGCTGACAAGGGCCAATCAACTGTTGCGGTGCCTAACGCACATGACATGTTGTACACAGACTCGTCTCGCGTGACAATGCAATATTTAATTCACAGAATCAATCTAGTTCCCGCGGATCCTCGGCCGCTTAGTGTTATGTACTTAATTTAATTGTGTAATTAATGCTCGGAACTTTTCGACAACCCCCCCCCCTATTTCAAATCGTGAATGGTCGAACCCAGTTACACGGGTGAAGGTCTCGTCCAATCGGAGCGGCTGTTGTTGGGGGAGGTCCTGACCAATCAGGGGCGGGCTCATTCAACTCTCGTCATGGCGCCGGAGCGGCCGTTGTGGTTCCCTCTGCCTTAGCGGAGACCAACAATGACAATATCTACAACTATTGATATTGTGAAAATAATTACACGGTTATAATAGTTATGAATAATATCGTGTGCTTTGTCACGTCCGTTCCGAAGCGCTGAGGCTTATGCTGAAGTTGAGTGAACAGGTGAGAGCCATTAACATGATTTTCAATTAAATTCCATTATGTTATCACTATTCAAATTGTCTATAGAAATGTTCTAATCATTATTGGTGAAAACCAATGCTTTAAATTAAATTAAAGTGCTTCATCTGTACACGTTCAAAACGGTGTTGTGCATATGCGTTCTGCGTGTTATCAACCTTTCATTACGTACACTTATATAGCAATGCACATCCTTTCATTTATTGGAGGGTCAAGGTTTGACATACGCAGTCCATCATTGCCATCTGTACAGGGTCATGTTAACTACGTTGCCTGGTATACAGGAAGTCCTGGGTTCCATACTGACCCTGACGCCTGTATATTTGGAGTTATTCTGTTCTACTCATGGTCGCATGGATTTTTGTGCAGGTACTCTGGTTTTTACCCTCCACATTTATAAACATGCGCTTAGAGCATATGGCTGCTATACATTTTCACGTGATAACCCATTGAATTGGGCTATAATTTGTGGCCACGTCGCTTCTGAAAAAGAGCTATAAAGCTCTCGTGGGCCTTATCTGGTAAAATTAAATAGTCGTTAAATAGTTCCAAGTTTTCACGGTAAAAACAAGCTTTTTAATGCACCCACTCTTTTTTGCATTAAAAAGTATAAAACACGTTATTTTGACCCCATAATTAATACAATTAGATGTTGCTGAATGAAAGTTGGTGGTTTCCTTTCGATTTGTTTAATTTGCTTTCTGTAAGCCACGCACTTTTGTTCAGCACATAAAATGTGATTAATTCTGATGTCAAAATAATTTGCTTTATACTTTTGAGTGCAAATAAAAGTGTGCATTGAAAAACTTGCTTTTTATCTTTTTTCTTTCATAAACAATCTCGCACGCCCTTTATACACGTCCATCCCTCCCTCCCACCATCTCTCTAGCTAGCCAATCAATTTTTGTTCTCATACAGTATAGTAAGTTTGCAATTTCCTGACTAGCTGTGGACATATTTGTAAGTCGTATGCCCAAAAAATATCATTCTAGGGTAAGCTTCATTTTCTTTTCATACATTATCCGCTTGTTAAATACTCTACTGTTTACTTTCTAAGTCTCAACTATTTTGAGGAAGGTGCTGCAATGGTTGCACAGTAGGGTGTGATGTTCCTGTTTAATCACAATTGAGTAATTGCATGTAATTTTATCGACATCGGATGTTTGGCCTATACCTGTTCATTTGTCTGCGTTTTTATCCATGGGATAACCCAGAGGATACTCATGAAGAACGGGGTAAGAACATGTGAACTTGACACAGCATGACCAGAATTTCTTCCATCAGATGCACAATTAAATTTATTCACAGAATCCCAAGGGAAACCGATCTCACCAAAGCCCAATACACTATTTCAAGTTGCATTATTATTAATAATCCAATGCAACATTTTCGTAGTATAATAAAAATTGGTTCTCGAGCACAGTAAGACACACAGGGAAGTTAAGGCATTACGGGAACTCTGTCTTCCAGTTGCTCTCCCGACATCCCTCTTCCTGCGTGTCAGATTCGGAGTGTTTCACCCAACCAATCTCAGCCACGAGTTAAGACCGATCACCTGCAGCGTAATGAGCATGGGGGTCAGGCAGGGGGCGCCTTGGCCCCCATGGTGGCCAAAGCTTTGAGTCGGGTCCCCCTTGCAACCACCATGAGATATATTTTCAACAACAGTGTCAAAGAACAGACGTGGTTTAATTGTCTTTTTAAAAAATGAAAATGCTTAAAGATGTGATTAGGCAAGAAGAGCTGCGATATATAATAGGCTCGGTGCAACCGTGGTGCCCCACCTGACCCGATTTCTGCACCCCCTGAGCTGATGTCGTTACTACGCTACTAAATTCACAAACATAGATGCATGTACTCCATACGTGTGTTTTTCTTTTTCAAATAATAGTGTGCATTTTAATTATGAAGCCATTAAGGGATCCGCTCCTCCATTGGCAGCGCATAAAATAGCAGACGTTGAATTTTAGTGCAGTTAAAGAGTAGAGAGGAAGCTCATTACTATCACAAATTGTGATAATTACATACAAGATAAGAGTGGTTGGACCTCCATTATACCAAGCATTGCAATACATAGGTAATAGGTGGTTCCGACACGGCAGAGCTTTATTTATTCATTAAAGGTTTTTCACAGCCACGACTCCTCTCGTTACGTGGATGCCGTCGTTCGTTCTTCGCGTGACTGCGTTGCCCCGCGCCACGTGGCACTCACCCCGCTCTCCACCGCACCGCTGGCTGGCGGCGCGCTGGGAAGCGACTGAGCGGCTGGAGGTTGAACCGCCACGTAGCTGGTGGACATGGCGGGGCAGTAGCGACGGGGAGCTCCTCTTCGATCTTCAACCACCGACCCCAACCCTTCCGCGACTCCCCGCTTATATTCCCTTTTTCCAGGCTAAGCCCCGCCTCTGGCCACGCCCCTCTTGGAACCTTGGAGAATGTTCCAGAGGCTTCCATGGTAGCTCTGCCCATTAACCTTTCCCCCAGATAGAATCCCACTACTGATAAGGCATGGACTGTCTAACAGTATATGACACATATATCACGTTGTGTAAGACTTTATTTGATTCCGCAAATTTTCTTAATCCGTGCAAGAGCGAGCAGTGTTTGTTGAGTGAAGGCGACGCTTAATTTACATGGACATACACCGTATAACAAGCCTCCTTTATAACCATGAAATCGTCAAATCTATACCGGAGAGATCACCTCCAAACATTTGATCAGCATTAACATACATGTCCTGATACATACGTGGCACAACAGAAGTAAAACACCCACCCCCAATTATGTATTTGCATTGCCAAAGTGAAATGTGTGTTTGTTTATTAGGATCCCTATTTACAGACATTCATAATGCTAATCGTGTTGCCATCCACTTGGAGCCATTCTCTTAATTTACAAAGTTTTGTGAGGAAGACGTGTTTTAAGGCACTATTCTATGGGCTGTCGTTCCGTCATGGCGAAGACCTCAGTCATATTTGTCGCCCATATTTGAGCAAGCAAGGACACGTACGCTATTGCGGAATTGCTAAGCACAATTATAAAACTTAGGTAAAGAAAATTTGGATTGAAAACATTACACACATGTACAAACAGTAGGGGGCACTGTAAGATGTATAGAGTACAGTTATCCTGTAATAGCCGGTAAGAGCATAAGTTATGCCACTCAAGGAGTTAATTTACTTTTTACACTGCAACCTATCATATTACAACAAAATACTGAATTTTGTCACTTTGTGAGCAAAGTCATTCATATTTAATGTAACTTCCATAAATTTGGTTAACTGGACATCAAATGGAGACCGAAGCCAAAGGAGGCTTCAGGTCACCAATGTGGTGCAGAATTAAACATGATCGCAGTTTAAATAAATAATTCAGTCCGTAGAGTGGGCTGAAACCATCTTGTAGGCTTCTCATGGAGTTGTAAGCAGTCCTTTATTTTCATGTATAGCATAAGACATTTGTAAATCTCTACTTTGTGGGAAATAGACATTTCCTGGGTTTGAAAACAGTTTAAGCAGAATGACATTGAAGAACCAAATCATCGTAAACTTGAACCTCTTCTCTATGGTCAGTTGGAGTGATGGCCGGTGCTGTAGGAAAGAAATGTAATGCCACACACAGAGTTAAACCATAGAGGGCATGACAGGGCGATGTGTTTTTCCAAATACATGTCGAAATATTTCTTACACTGTTAGATTTCAATGTAGTTTAGTTACTGCAATTCACATATTATTAATATCGCATATGACTATAAAAATGGTGTGTGTTTTGAAAACTTAATTTGCTAATGAAAAGCAACGTAGCAATATGGCAGCACAAGACACTTTTCAAGTCAGTGCACATGAGCAGTTATGGCATGGGTTTGCTTTGGATAATACATTTTATAGTGGCCAATATGCACTGATTGGAAGTTTAATTCTTTCTAAGTAATGGCGTTATGTACTGGTTGTAACATCGATCAAAAACCCAATCGCTGACGAAAATGGAACAATAGCTGTGCAAAAAGAAGAATTGAGGGAGATTCTAGAAATTACCATAATGGGAGAAATATTGGGAGACATTAATGTATGTGACTGTTAAAAACATCAAATGTGCTTGAGGAGGACACCACTCGACGAAGAGTTGATGGGTGAGTTGATGGGTGAGATGTTCCGAAAGATGATCGGAGAGATGATCTGTGAGATGATCGGTGAGATGTTCTGTGAGGTGAGCAGTGAGATGAGCAGTGAGATGAACCGTGAGATGATTCGTGAGATGTTTGGTTAGGTGATTGGTGAGGTGGTGGGTGAGGTGATCGCTGAACAGCTATTTTAGGGCATACGCATCTAAGAGGACAACCCCAAATTCAGCGACATTGTTAGCAGGGCAAGCCGGCCTGTGCAGGACACATCGCTAGACAGAACGATGGTGGATGGACAGGATTGGCGATGGCATGACAGCCAAAGGAGGGAATGTGCCCGGGAATATGACCGCCACGGAAATGGAGTGATGACGCCAGTTTATTCGCAGATGGATTGTGGGCACTGCAGCACCATGATGGATGACGACGATATGGAAAGACCTTCATCCAACCTTGATTTGAAGCTTTCGTGACTACAGGAATCCATACTCTTTGGTTCGTTCGGTAAGGTCACGTAGGTAGAAAATAAAACAAATAAATTACGACGTTTCGGGCGCAACACAAGCGTCCACCTGATGATGGATGCTTGTGTTGCGCCCGAAACGTGATTTATTTTTTTATTTTATGCCTTCATCCAGTAATGGCTCGACAAGGGTCGATGATGATTGTGATATATTCTTGATACACGGCATTCATTACAGCACAATAAAGTAATGCTATTCTTTGAACAAGATGTGTATTGTATAACAATATTGTTATTTTATGCAGTTTTTACCTTTCTTTTTCTTTAAATAGAAAAAACACAAGCCCACAGCTCCCCAGGCCAGAATAGGTGCTGCCAGAGATATGAGACAAATCCGTTCACTGATGCCCGATGCTGGAAGAAGAAAAAGTACACTCTGCAGCTTTCGTCTCAGTAAAATTGAGAATTACGGTATGCACAAAATAACTCATCACAAGTATTTTCTGCGATATAAAATGGCGTTGCGACGTACATGTCCATCGTGTGCAATTAGTGTACTCGTGGGCTGAAGCAGATTCTGCGCCACAAGCCACGTTGCCATCGATTGTGTCGTCTTTTGAATTTGTGGATTTAAGCAACATTTTAAAAGTCCATTCCGCCGCCTGTTTACTGCCGATGGTGTGAGATAACCATGATGTTACTACGCGCCGTCTGCTCATTCACACTACTCAATTGGGGCTCAACATCGCAATCATTTCATGTTTTGCTTCCGATTGGTAGTATAATGCCCCAAGTGACTTGCGAATTACACTATACTGGTTTTGTGAGTTCTGACCAGGTTGGGAAAAAAGTGGTAATTTCTCCAGTTTAATAATGAATTGATAGTTGACTGTTTGCCTATTTGTGTCAATTACTATCCACCCATTTGCTGAAAGTCTCACTGAATAGCGGATGTTACCCAAACGATGTAAACATAATTATTTCCATCTCCAACAACTGGGGGAAAGGTGTATGGACCAACACAAAATAATGTCTGGCAATCGACAGAGACATTCTCCTTCATCTAGATCCTTGTCCAGTATATTGGCACTAATTGTTATCATTGCACAGTGCATTGCTTACTTTCAAAATACAACGCGATGGTTTCCTGGAGCATTGACCGGAGGTTCACACCCCGGACAGAGCAAAGACACTTCTTTCCACAATGGTCTGCTGATGGCGTGAAGTTAAGTCTGCTTGTGATGTTGAACGTTCCATCTGGAAGCGCCGTTTCAGTCTCCGTGATCACTCCTCCAGTGATGACATCCTCGCACCAGGTGATGTTTATCGAGCCCCTGGGGTACACGTTCGCTACACTGCAGCTCAGGGAGGCCGGTTTTCCAATCACCAGTGCCGGCACATCTTGCTGTGCGAGCACGCTGTCTGGTACCGCTGTGATGCAAAGACAGAGGAGTGGACATTAACACAACGTTTTAGTCTATACGATTAAACGCTTGTGACGTTTAGGTTAGACATTTATGGCATAAAGCCCACGAGTATTATTGTTTAAGAATGTTGTAGTCCGTTTAACACACAGAATGGGTTTCGCGACCAATATTATCCATAATAGAGGTATTTGGGTGAGATCGCGTAAATATATAAATGTGTTGTTAAACCCGCCACCACGTCAGAGCCAATCAGTAAGGTTTGTCACGTAAACAAATATGCAAAGTCGTTACTAGTTTAAGCACACTGGTGATTATTCTGGAACCCACAACATTGTAATTGTTGTGGGTTCCAGCATCATCAGCGTTGCTCAAAAGATGCAGACATTGTACTCGAATTGTCAATGTTGTGGGTTTTACTCTCCAACACACCGTTGTGCTGAACTAGTAACGAATTGGCACGTTCTGTTTACGTGACAAACCTTACTAGTTGGCTGTGTCGGGTGGTGGCGGGTTTAACGACACATTTATATTTACGCAATCTAACCCAAAAAAGCCTCTTACGGATAACGTTGTTAGTTGTTCACCCTCACAGTGTACAGAGAGTGCCTTTACCAGTGACGAATGGTAAATCAGTAGGAGTGTATTTCTTTAACGTGGCCGACTCTGCTGGTGTGAGACGCAGAAGACCCACGCGGGGCCGGTTTGCTTTCCGATGGACCAAGAGACGAAAGCAACGTTCGTGTTTTATGTTGTTTGATGTTGTGTTTTATGTTGTGTTTTATGTTGTGTTTTATGTTGTGGTTTGTGTTTTATGTTTGTGTTACATGTTTGTGTTTTATATGTTGTGTTTTATATGTTGTGTTTTTTGTCGTGTTTTACGTTGTGCTATATGTTATGTTTTATGTTGTGTTTTATATTTGATTTGTATGTTGTGCTGTTGTTTTATCTTAGTGTTTTACTTTGCGCTATATGTTGTATGTTAGGTGTATTACGTTGTGCTATATGTTGTGTTTTAATTTGTGTTTTACGTTGTGCTATATGTTGTGTTTTATGTTCATATTTTAAGTTGTGCTATATATTGTTTTATATTTGTGTTTTACGTTCTGCTATATGTTGTTTTAAGTTCGTGTTTAACGTTGTGCTCTGTTGCGTTCTATGTTGTGTTTTATGTTTGATGTATTCGATTTCAGTCGTGTTCCGAATGCACACAACTGACACTGCTTCTGAACGCGCAACAACATTTTCACCACAGTATTGCAAGCATGGGTACATTGACACGTAGAGTACGTAGTCTTACATGCAATACATACTGTTATTTAGATATTTGGGACTGACATTCAATTGTCAAAGCCCCCAGAAATGTGTCTTTACGTGCATAATTATAAAGCCTTGTCAATAAAAATGCTTTAAAAAATCTCACCAATAACCTTCAGTTCAATTCCCATTCCTGCACCTATTTGTGTACGATGTACTTCCGGGTAAAAATAATAAGTTTTCTCATCCGATATTCTGATGTCTTCAATGAGTAGAGAACAGTTGCGTGCTGTCCGGTCACCAGGTAGAGAAACGCGGCCTTGATAGTCCATTATTCCTGTGGATTTGGCACTGACTCGGTAGACGATGTGTGTAAAATCTCTCGCATTGTTGAGGAGCCAGTAGCCTTCCACGGGTGACGATTTATTGAACGTTTCAATGCAAAATGAGCACGGGAGCATGGCCTGTGCACCCTTCGTCACATGCACCACCTTGGCCCCATACGTCACTGAGGAGGAAACGCCGCCTCCACCTGTTGTGGATAAAGAGTCACGTTTGCATTCGAGCGTTCGTTTTGGGAGTTCTTTCAGTAATATTTATTCTGTGTATTACTTTACGACTTTTTGTACTTGTATTAATTTTAAAGATATATTTTTCTTGCAAAGATTCTACGCTGATCGCATCCACGCCGCTTTTTCGAACGACACAATTAGGCAATTTCTACACATTTTTATTGAATTTGCTCTGTTGTCCGTATATATATTTGACGCTTAATACCTTCGGATTTACTAAGCCTAACGAGCTGACATTTTGCACACACAGACTCGTCGTCTCGCGAGACAATTAAAGATTTCATTTCAAGAACCGGTCCAGATCCCACTGATCCTGGGTCTGTGTTTTTTACTTCATTTTTAATTGCACAAGTTTTTTTCTGCTGCATTTCGCATGGCACACAACGGCGTAATTTGGTTCTACTAAATTATGACGAAGGCTTCTTGTCATAACTTCCCATTAATATTTTTTTTCTTCTCCAGGTTAAATGTATCAGCCTGGTTAATTCACCTGCCTGTAAACAAGTCATACCTAATGACAACACACAATGGTGCAGGTAATGGGATTTAACGATGTGTTTTGAATGAATGGCAATTACTTGCCACTTACACAACACTTTTAGATATCCAAATGAACTACCACTTCCTTCGGTGTTCGTTGCTTTGCAATGGTACCAGCCGGAATCTTCCACCTGTACTCGTGGTATTGTTATTCTTTCTCCGAACGTGGCCAGTGACTCTTTGTGCCCATTACGCATTTCTCTGACCCACGTGACGTGAGCCGGGGGCCAGCTGTCACTCTCACACATCACAGTCACATTCATGCCCTCTGTCACTTTGTCGGGGTCAAACTTAACTTTGATGTCTCTGGGTTTATATGGATCTGAAAATACAGATGAATAACATTGAGAGAGAATTATGAATTACTGCGATGGAAATAATTGGATGATATTGAACACAAATGTTTACTTAATAAATGCGCAATATCATAGTGTTACTTCACATGTTAAATACCAAATATCTTTGCAGTTCATCCATTTTAAACGCGAACAAAAATTGTACATTTCAACTTCACCTGTCCATTTTCGAGTATTTTTTACGTCAAGTATAGATACGTATTAAAGGAATCTCTTCCACTAATATATATATTTTTTATGTCCAAATTTTGTGGAACGCGAGGAGCGCCGAGCAATCGGAATGCATTGCACATTTCAAGTATCCCTGGGAAGAGAATGTCAGAGTGCACATTGGTGAATAGTTACCGTGTAAAACAGTTGTCAACGAGGGGTGTGATGGTGAATATATTCATTGATGAATCACGACCTTAAGCTCACGACTCATGCATTCAGCTACAGGCGTGAACGGTGATGTTTGTATATCTGTATATGCCGTATTTAATGGGATGTTTGTATATCTATATATGCTGTATTTAATGGAATGCTTGTATATCTATATATGCTGTCTTTAATGGGTTTATATAACCCGAGCCAGCCATTAAGATTATTGAATCAAACGGCACCGTTGAACCATGACAAGTTATTGCACGGCAGGTTGGGCAAATCTGCGTACACTTACTGCCAACTCGTGGTGGCACTGAAACTAAAAAGGTCAAATCAGATTGCATAAATACTACAAATTATGTATAAGAATGTATCCTAAATTGTGATGTTAATATTTGAAATCGAAAAATGCATCCACAAGCAAATAAGTAAAAAACAAAACTTTGTTAAAGATATGCAATGACTATATTTTCAGGACGACTTAAGAACTTGAATAAAATTAGTGTGGCATACATTTCACTTCCAGCGTAATTCCTCCTGCTCCAGTGAAGCTGTTCGACACCGCAAACCGAAAGAAATAAGTTGAAGCATCATAACTTTTTACGTCGATGATCTTAAGGGAACAGTTTTTTTCCTTCAGGTTTCCAACCAGAGACATCCGGTCCTTATACGATGCCACTGGAGCTGTTAGGCTGTACACGTAAGGTGATGAATGCGCGTAGCCTTTCTTCCAAACAGCCAGTGTCACTTCAGATCCATCCCTCTCGGGGTACGTGAAGGAACAGGGAAGAATCACGGTGCTTCCAGGGCAGGTCACGACCTTCGGTCCATAAATCACTTCCCACGCCACTTCAGCTGCCACTAGAAGCAGAGTCAACAGAAGCAGCAATAATCACGGTCATGTAAAACCTGTCAACCAGCAGCCAAATGTGGGTCATGATACTAGTGAAGCATCCATAGAATTTGATGTGACCAGCAACCGATGATATAAAACATAAAATATTTGTTTTTTACACATGACCAGTGAAAATCATTCGTCATTATACCATTACGTGACCATAACACGCTTGGTGAATCCGTTGCTTAATTATCATATTGCGATAGATAGGTCATCTATCTTTTCATAAAAAATATATATATTTACAGCTAAGCGCGTTGATGTCATGGTGTAATAGTTATCACACTGGAATTATCATCCACAGGTTGCCAAATAGATTAAATCTTCCGGCGTGGCAGTTTGAACAATGGGCAAGTTTCTAATATCCCCCTGCCATGCGCACCCAGCAGTATAAATGGATGCCCCGCAGTCGATTGGCAGTCCACGTGTGGTGGGGCAAAGTGTGGCTGCTCACGCCCCTTCCCAGGCACGTGGCCAGTGCGAACAGCGTAGGCCAAATAGCCACTCGAAAGAAGCTCTTTGGAGCTCACGTGCTAGCAGTGGTAGCAGTGGTATGAGCTTAAGTGATTGCAGGCATGCACATTTACGGCTAAGAAATGTTAATATATTTGTAATGCGGGCGTAAATGGGCGGGGCGGATATGACGATCCGAGAGGGAGGAGTCAGGGTCACGTGGGGGAGAAGTTATAGCGGGGAGACAGGAAGCCATCTGGGTCAGTCGGGGGAGTGAAGGGTGGTGAACACGTTGGGTGGTCGCCGTGCCTCAGCCTGGTGGCTGAGGGGCTCATGACGGCGCCAGCCAGCGGGGTGGAAGAGAGAGTTGGGGATAGAGACAGGGAGTGGCGAGATAGCCACACACGGTAAGACTCGGCACCGCCGGCCAGCGGTGACCGAGCACGGAGGAACAGGGAGCAGCGGTGGAGCTGCTGTGAGAGCAGCCGGAGGGCTGCACCAAGAGCCTGCAGCGGAGCTGCAGGAGCGCGGAAGGCTACGGGAGCGAAGGCAGCTGTGGAGCTGCCAGGCAGAGAGTCTCAGGAGGAGTGCCGTGTGGGAAAGAGAACGCGAACCCAAATAAAGGACACGGAGACAGAACCAGGGTCGAGTCCTTTATTACACTGGTGTCAGAAGTGAAACGGCATCTCAAAACAACTGAGAGAAAAAAAAAAGAATATTCCTGCGCCATCATCTGCTACATCATCAGACGACGACGACCTTCCTCAGACGGTGGACCTGCCTGCGATGGAAGAGGAGATCCGTGCTGGAACGAGTACGGGTCCGGGTGAGCAAGGTGTCGCCGCGTCGGTGGACCTGTCTGTGCCGGAGGACGCCAACTTACGATGGAGACAGATGGCGGCGCAGATGGAGACCTTGAAAATCGTGCTGGCGCAACTGTGTGAGTTCACCAAGCCGAGGACGGCGTCGGGGAGGCCCGGTGGTGATCCGCAGGCCTCCGCCTTTCCTGCGCTGCCAGCGCCATCTGCCACATGGCACGAAGACGCCATCTTGGGCGTGGCAGGGGAGAAACGGCGGGAAGCCGCCATCTTGTCTTCACCGCGGCGGGGAGACGCTGCCATCTTCAACATCACGGCGGAGAGGCAGCCTTGCGCTGCCATCTGGAGGTGCCGCGGGGTGAGCAGCCTGCTGTGAGCTGCTGTTTTCGAGTAGGAGCTGCGAGGAGAGGACGCTGCAGCTGCTGGGACGGGAGCTCTCCCGTCCTGGCTCGGGTGCGAGACGACGGAGCAGTCAAGTCGCCGAACGAGTTCTGCGAGGCGTCTCAAGTTACCACCCTGCGTCATCTGCTTGCTGCAGCCCCGGGCGAGTCGTAACGATACGCACCCGGCCTTAACACACACCTCACCCATCTAGCGTGTGCCGGGGGGGCGATTTTTGCATGTCTCGGCCGTGTGGAGCGTGGTTCGGGCTGTGTGTGTGTGTGTTTTCTGGATGAACGCGTTATTTGCTTGTTGCTCGGTGTCATTTAGTGTGTATGAGTGTGTGTTGAGGATGGAAGGAGAGTCTGCTGTGCTTGCTGAGTGTCAAATAGTGTGTGTGCGCTGCGGCGTGGAGTTGTTATCTTGATGGTCAAGTTAATTATTAACTCGGGAGCGTCGGGTATCCTGCGCTGTACCATCTCGTGGGTTACCGTGTGCGACGGGCTTAATTGAAAAATATTTTTTTTGGTGTATTGTGCTGCGAGGTGCTGTGTGCGATGCGGTTGTTGCAAGAGAGAGAATATTTGTGTTGTTGCTGCAAAGTTACGATAGGATTAATGGTGTGTTGGTTGCCTGCAGATCTGCTTGCTATTGTGCTTAAATGTACGCGTGTGATCGCGATATGCTGACTGCATGTGCTGTTACACCGTTCTGTACGGTTATGGGGTGCGATGCAGTGGTTGACTATTGGAATTGGGATTGTTATTATTTGTGCGTACCTGTTGGAAATTGGTAACAAATTCGAGGGGGACCCAAAAATTTGGTTGTATGGGTGTTGTGCACACGAGATTGCGTGTATATTATAGAGGGGGACCCAAATATTTGGTTGTATGGGTGTTGTGCACACGAGATTGCGTGTATATTATAGAGGGGGACCCAAATAGTTGGTTGTATGGGTGTTGTGCACACGAGATTGCGTGTATATTATAGGGGTAATTGAGCTTTTTGAAAATGAGGGTGCGCGATGACGCCGTTGTGGGTGGCTCAGATGTTCAGGGTGATGGGACCGTAAATTGGCGCCAAATGGCGTCGCTCATTCGGTTGATTGCATGCAGCCAGGAGTTGCTTGCGGGTTGGTGTGTGTAACCAATGTGTTTTGGTAAAATATTGGTTGAAATTTCCACGATATGACTGCTGTGCGCAGCAAGCTGGGGCTGTGCGTCTATCGTTGGTGGGGTTGTTATAACGTGACGGGGGATGCGTCTTGTGACCCCCAGCAAAGGGCAGCTGGGGTGCACGCACAGAGAAAACTGGCCACGTGTTCGCACGTTGGGCCGCCATTTTGCGCGCACGCGGGGTATGGCGACGATGCGCTTTGCGCAAAGGGCCGCCATTTTGAGTGCGCGCGAGTTATTGCGAGAACGCGCTTGGCGAAGGGGGCCGCCATTTTGAGCGCGCGGGAAAAACCGCGGTGGGGCAAATATTCCATCTGTTATGCCTGCCATTGTTGATTGGGTGATGCACGAGTTGTGGTCACATTGGCCTATGGCTGATGGCTGACCTGACAGCCCGGAGGCGAAACCTCCGTGGTATGTCTTAAACTAATGGGCCATGTGCTCATATGGCTCGGGGAGTCATGGTTCAGTTGTGCGGTGGCAGACTGAACCTGGTGTGCCGGGGGCTCACGGGATCTGGGTTAGGGTGTTATTGTCTCTATAAGAGAACATTGCCCTGTGGGGGGAGTCCATGGGGTCTGGCATTGCCGGGGGATGAACCTTCCCTGGGCTATAAAGCATCAGACTATACGAGGCTGGTGTGTGTCCATCTCTGATGGGATAGTAAGGGAGGAGCATGGCCGAGTTGCTGCTCATCCCCGAAATTGCACTAGCCGAGAGTATGGTCAGTGGATGTTGCTGTGGGTTGACGACCACGGTGGGGGTTAGGGCGAGTTAAATGTTACCGCTGGGGAGCGTGGCTCTCTCCACGCGGGGGTGTGCGACTGGGGGCTTTGCTGAGAGTGACCGTGGGTACATGCTGTGTACGTGCGATGTCTGTGCTGGTCCTCAAGGGAGGATTGCTGGTGGGCAAGAGCAGGAAATTTTGTTGTTGTTGTTGTCACGTGTAAATAATATTGTTGTTAAAATGTAAATACTGGGGCATCCATCGCGTCTATTTTGGGTATTTATGGGGGTTTTCTTAAGCGGGCCGGATTTACATCATCTCCACTACCCTGGGGCCGGGTGGCTGTCGTGTACGACATGTGGATGTGCGTTGTTGTGCTGTGCCTCAGGGGATTGGATTCTCCTTCTCGTCACAGATCTTCAGTGCCTGCCACACTGGGTGTTACCTGGTGTGCTAACTGGATGAGGACTTGAAGGAGCGATTGAGCGCCCGTTCGTCATTCCTGCTCTACCACTTGCTCTGACGTTGGACTTGAGCCGAGCGGATGGAACTGCAACATGGACACGCACTAAAACACCACATTCCTGGGTTGTGCGCATCGGCCGTTCTTGCGTGTCAGTTGCCGTTGTTGTGCATTGTGCCATTCTTATTCTTGTTGTTGTTGCGCGGAGGACAGGCCGGTGTTCTGTTCCAGTTCCTGATACCTCCCCTTTCGTTACTTGTGTTGTTGTTGTTGTTATAATCTCCGTTGTGTCTGGGGGACTCCTGATTGTGATGCCTTCGCCCGCATTATTTTGTTTTGTTTCAGCCGAGGACGGCTGGAATTTTCTCTACGGGGGAGGGTGGTGTAATGCGGGCGTAAATGGGCGGGGCGGATATGACGATCCGAGAGGGAAGAGTCAGGGTCACGTGGGGGAGAAGTTATAGCGGGGAGACAGGAAGCCATCTGGGTCAGTCGGGGGAGTGAAGGGTGGTGAACACGTTGGGTGGTCGCCGTGCCTCAGCCTGGTGGCTGAGGGGCTCATGACGGCGCCAGCCAGCGGGGTGGAAGAGAGAGTTGGGGATAGAGACAGGGAGTGGCGAGATAGCCACAGAGGCCACGCAGGGCTGAGGTTGGAGATGGCGAGATAGCCACAGAGGCCACGGAGGGCTGAGGTTGGGGAGTGGCGAGATCGCCACACACGGTAAGACTCGGCACCACCGGCCAGCGGTGACCGAGCACGGAGGAACAGGGAGCAGCGGTGGAGCTGCTGTGAGAGCAGCCGGAAGGCTGCACCAAGAGCCTGCAGCGGAGCTGCAGGAGCGCGGAAGGCTACGGGAGCGAAGGCAGCTGTGGAGCTGCCAGGCAGAGAGTCTCAGGAGGAGTGCCGTGTGGGAAAGAGAACGCGAACCCAAATAAAGGACACGGAGACAGAACCAGGGTCGAGTCCTTTATTACATATTTATATAGTCCTTCAAGTCCTGAAGGTTTTCTGATGTCCAACTGCTCAGTTCTCCCAGGTCTAGGTTGCACTCATTTGCTGATCGGGCTGTTGTTAGCGTAGCACCCAAGCTATGGAACGCCTCGAAATCAGGCAATCGGAGTCGGTAGATATATTCATTATTTGGCCTTCCCTCTTTAATTTAGTCGGTTGCCCCTGTGGAATGCGCTTCATAAATTTAAACAATTGTATTATTAATGGCAAGAGCAGGTTTTTGGTTTCATGGTAAAGTTCCAGGAGCAGCAAAATGAAGACGTGCGCCCCATGATGAGGGCATTTCATTGCCAATGTGCCATGGAGGGGTGGGTATGGCGGGCATTCTGGCCATGTTCGTATGAGACGGTGTAACATTTGTGTGCATGGCATGACGTACCTTCTGGGTGGTGTCTCAAGGCAAACCAACAAATGACACCGATCCACATTCGGCCAAACACTGCCAAGCCTTGCACGTGGAAATGCATTCTCATAGCATTGAAATACAAAAAACCTGGGTACAATGGCACGACACAGCAACGCAGAAGCATTGTTTTAGTTATTTTTTTTCATTGATCATAATCAATGATCAGCTAAGAAAATTCGAAAAAAACATTCAAATGACTCATTGTAAAACATCTCGTTATAATAAGTCTTGGAAGGCTGTAACAGATGTTGTGATGGCGTGATTGATTCAACATGGTTACCAAAACCGGAGAATTATATTCACGATTTAGTACAAACATTTGCCACAATACTTCCACAGAATTATAAAGTACTCTATTTGTACACACATCGGTGTGTGTACATCCACACCACTGCATGCATCTCGTCCCAAGTGTTAACATCTGCGCTGGGAATACTGAACAAAGATGTCCAGATGCGGTGCCGCGTCAACCTCCTCGTGCCTTGTCGGGTGATCATGAGCGACACTAAAGATTTGACCATTAGAACAATCATCTTTGCATATATACACAGGTAATTATACACTGATGGAAGCATTGATCAAAAGTTTCAATGACCACTGCAATCCCTATCTCCATAGCTTGGGTCTAAGCCAGTGATGTAAATTACGTTATTTATCGGTAGGAACCAGCCTCCCACTAGGACAACCACTATTGATAGGAACCAGCCTTACATTAAGACAACCACTATTGACTTCACATCACAAATAATCTTCTCATTCTATTAAGCGTAGATGGACAATGAGTTAAGGCTCCCGGCAACAGGGATTAGAGCTCTCAGCCTTCTGAGTGGGAGAAGAACGCTCGAACCACACAATCTGGGTTGTCGATGTCATATCTGCACTGATGCTCGTTTGAGCAGAGTTACACGGAGACAATAGACTTGGTAACATTAACGCAGCAGCCCAAGTACACTGCGCCACTATGGGAGTTAGGTGCTCGCGAATAACACTTTCCACAATAGTCTGTAAAAGGCTATAGGAGGGATCTTTGTGATTCTGGAAGTTAGCTCCTATCATGGATGCAAGATTTGTACGGAATGTAAAATTACTAAAATCTAGGAATAATAGGGTACGTTTTGCACGGCGTTTTAACTTTTGGTAAGGCTTAGAAGGTTTTAAACTATTTTAAACTAAACTATTTTTTCATTTTACCAGGTTAGGCCCACGGAGCTTATACAGCTCTTTTTCAGAAGTGACCTGGCCACAAATGATAGCTCAACGAAGTGGCTTACCGTGTGGAAATGTATAGAATCCAACTACCCTAAATGCATGTTTCTTAATGTTGAGGGAAAAACACAAGGACCAGAGAGAAATCTACACGACCTTGGGTAGAACATGCAAAACTCCAAATATACAGCAGGCGTCAGGGGTCGGGATCGAACCCGCGACCTCCTGTATACCAGGCGAGGGTGATAACATCTCGCCCCAAACAACAAGTGCAAGAAAAATGATCAATATAAAGTATACAACAATGAAAATTATCCTTACCTCTGTAATGTCCAGCCTTATTTTGGATGAAATGAAAAGCAATGCTCTCATCTGAGAAGTTGATTAAATCAGTTTTCTTGTTTTATACTTCAAGAGAAACGGGAACCAGCCTTGTGACGTCCATAACTCAACTTGTTTAAAAAAAAATAAACTCTCATCTGAGAAGTTGATTAAATCAGTTTTCTTGTTTTATACTTCATGAGAAAAGGGAACCAGCCTTGTGACGTCCATAACTCAACTTGTTTAAAAAAAAAATAAACTCATCTGAGAAGTTGATTAAATCAGTTTTCTTGTTTTATACTTCAAGAGAAAAGGGAACCAGCCTTGTGACGTCCAAAACTCAATTTTTTGTTTCTTTTTTTAATAAACAGGAACTTGCACGGCATTTGAACAGGTCTGTCCCCCCTCCCACCATCCCTGCAGCTAGCCAATCAATGTTTCTATAATAATTTTTTTTGGTTACATCGCCTGAATATAAATGTGTCATGAAACCCGCCACCACCCGACACAGCCAATTAGTAAGGTTTGTCACGTAAACAAAACGATCCAATTTCGATAGATTATCTAATTAGTCTTGGCCAGTAGTTACTCGGCTTGCACAGAACTTTAACATCAATTGAGTGTCCTTGTGGCACTCGTGTTCTGCTCCTGCTCACAGTTGAACCAGCCTTGTGATGTGCAACACTCAATTTCTCTTCTTTTTTAAATTAACAGGAATTCGCATGTTCCTGGAACACGTCCGGACCTCCCTCTGACCATAATAGTACGTTTGCAATTTCCTGTCACGTAGAAGGGAAATAATACAATTAAAACAATAAAATTCTCACGTTTCGATTGCAACACAAGCAATCGAAACGTCGTGAGAATGTTACATTTTTTTTATTTTATTATTTCCCATCTACGTGACTTTACCGAAAGAACCCCAAGAACCAAGAATATGAATCCCTGCAGTCATGAAAGCTTTAAATCGAAATCCTCCTAAGATTTTAAATGGGTTTTTTTTTCAACCATTTTGGTTGTGAATTCCAACATCGAATGCCTACTCAGGTGATACGATCAGCATCAGAGGTGCAGCGAAATGCGTTTAATCCACCTCTCCATCCGCAAACAGCACTTGCCCCTGCAGTCCGTTAAAGGTTACACGGGGAATGTTTGTCTTTTGAGTGTGCGAGTGTGTCGGTCTTTTTTCATGTTAGACCTTAATTGTCACCAGGCGCAAGTGTTTTTAGTGGTTGCATGTGTAATGAGTGGCTCCGACACGGTAAGTAACTTCAAGTGCTTTATTTATAAATCTTCGGTACAGCCACTTCTCTCTCTTCGTGGATGTCGACCCGCTCTCGTGGCTTTCGCTGCCCCACGCCACGTGGCGTTCACCCCGCTCGCTAACACACCGCTGGCTAACGACGCGCTCGGGAGCGGCTGAGCAGCTGGGGGTCAAGCCGCCACGTGGAAGGTGGAGATGGCGGGGCAGCAGCGACGGGGAGCTCCTCTTGATCTTCAAACACCGACCCCTCACGTGGCACGTTGCTGTGCCCCCCGGCTTATATTCGCTCCCCGGAGGCTAAGCCCCGCCTCTGGCCACGCCCCTCATCTGGCCACGCCCCTCCTGGAACCTTCGGGAACGTTCCAGAGGCTTCCCTGGTAGATCCGCCAAATCATCTTTACCCCAGGTATACGGTAATCCCTACGATCGATAAACCGTGGACTGTACGATAAGTAATGTAACCCCCACAATGATTCAGTAGATGGCGCTCTCGTATTACACATGCATGCCAATCCTGAGAATGCGCAATTCTTTTGGGTTCAAGTTTGATTCGGTTGTGGCAGGGACTCCACTAAACGGCTGTTGTCCACGTAATGTTTTAAAATCGGAATTTTTTGATATTTTTTTGGCGTAACGTGTTTGTTCCTGAAAACCTCCGGATTTGCAGAAACGCTCCGGATAAGTTAAGACGGAACCTTACAAACATCGAACATGTACGCCTGATACTCGGCAGAATACGGTAATTAAACATTTTTACGCGTAACATTATTTCGGTGATATACTATCACTATATTAATCGTAAAACCGATTTTAATGTGCGGATTTGCTCCCGTGAGTGTTTTTGGCGTCCAAATTACGGGGTTTTTCATGCGATTTTACACCAAAATCGTGCCGTCTAGTGGCGAGAAATCGCACATTTACTGCTTCCCACTGCGTTGTATGCGAGCTTAGTACCGTCCCCACAGCAGTTCCACGTAAAACTATGATTTATGGCTGAAATTTGTTGATAATACGGTTTGAATAGTTTTTTTTCTTCAAAAATAGCGTTTTGAAGGCCAAACGTCATGGAACAGCGCTCCCCTCCCACTCTTTTCCATTCTTCCTCAAGGTGTTACCTCCTCCCTTCCAGGTGTCTCCACCATGTTGCTCACCTGTGCACAGAGACCCATTGCATGTTCTTGGTTCTTTCGGTAAAGTCACGTAGAATGGACCTGTTCTTCACCTGAGGACGGCTGCTTGCGTTGTGGCCGAAACATCGTGAGCATTATTTTATTATTTCTATTCTACGTGACTTTACCGAAAGAACCAAAAAGATGAATCCGTGCAGTCACGAAAGCTTTAAATCGAAAAAAAAAACAATTGCATTGTGAGTACATCCACTTGAGCGCTGACCTGTAGCTCGGAGAGAGAGACTGCGCTGATCTCACGTTGGCCATCGACGTTCGAGTGTGACGAGAGCTCCCCTCAAAGGAACGGCGCTGCAATAGAGCGATTACAATCGTACACCCGACAAAATCACCGGTCAGAGATTTGCCCTCCCGTGTCTGATAATTGTGGATCATGAATCGAGACTAATTGCAATCCATTTCGCTCAGTCGATCTGGCACCACCCACCTCAAAGTCGATCAGGCAGGCGTATTGAAAATGTATGATTTTATCTTAAGTTAAATTCCACAGTTCACAGATACAAAACAACGCTATTGATCCACAATACAGGTTTTGTTTGGGTTATATTGCGTACATATAAATGTGTCGTTAAACCCACCACCACCGGACACAGCCAATTAGTAATGGTTGTCACGTAAACAGAACATGTTTGTCACAACTGTGCAGACATTTCTCGTTCTGTTTACGTGACAACCCTCACTAGTTGGCTGTGTCGGGTGGTAGCGGGTTTTAACGACACATTTAAACATTTACGCGCTCTAACCCCCCAAAAAACCCTCTTATTATGCACAACTCATTATTATTTTTGTTATTGTACCCTAATCTCGACTCCAAGACAGCCGAGCAGCGCCGTTCCGGAAATGATTGAACGACAAATGGAAAGCTCTGGTCCTGGAGACGCGCGTGGTGATGGGAGTGGTGGCCCGATCGAGACGTGCCGTGCCGGGTCTCATGAGGGTGTCGATGGAGGGAGGGGAGGGGTGAGGAAAGGGGGGGGGGGAGGGAAGGAGGGTGGGTGGGGGGTGTGAAGCAACGGAAGTGCTTTATATTATTTGGAGTATTATTTGGGTCTTTCGGTAAAGTCACGTAGATATAACTATAGCTTGCTCTATCCACTGCTGGCCTAGACTACCTCTAGTACACCATGCCTATTACATGTGCTATCCACTGCTAGCCTAGGCTCCATCTCTATAGCTTTTGCTCTATCAAGGCCGAGACTCCATCTCTACAGGATGCTCTATCCACTGCTGACCTAGACTCTTGTGCCCGCCCACTCCGTTCTGACACTTGGGCTACGCCCACGTTTAAACCTCTATTAGCAGTTGCATTTAGAGGCCTTACCCCAATTTCCTCTCCACCTGATGACGACCGCTTGTGTTGCGATCGAAACGTCGTGAGTTTTTTGTTTAAATTGAAAAATATATATATTTTTTAATTTGAACCTATCTACGTGACTTTACCGAAAGACACAAAGAATATGAATTCCTGCAGTCACAAAAGCTTTTAAGTCAAGATGTAAGTGCTTTAATTATATTTTTCCTGTCAGTTGTAATTATGGTTGACGCAATATCAAACGGTTATCGATGTATGTACCATTTTCCCATGACTTAATTGTAAATATTGTTGATCTGCTTTGCTTACTCTATTACAAATTACGATTTTAGTACCGTTCTTAAAAGGTCGATCGCAGTGCACTCAACCAATTTACGCCTACAAAAACAACTCTTATTACGAAATCACGCATTCATGTCATTGCAGCATGTTATATTTGGGCACAATGTCTTGCATTTTATTTAATTATTTACCAACTGCATGAAGGCATTAACGTTTGAACCATTTTTTACTAAAGACTTTCAGCAAATTTTGCGGATCGTGTCGGTTTGCAAATAAAAAAATGTATCCCCCAAAACATTCAAAATTATTTTCATGTTATGCAGTCACCAAACACAACCCTATTTAGTATTTACTACTATAATGAGCCAATTATGTTTGAATGTCTGTCCCGCGCGTGACGTCACTCCACGTCGGCCAGCCCCCCTCATTAATAATAATGAGCAGGTGATGTCCTCCAAATAGATCCCTCCCTCAATAATCATGAGCGGGTGACGTCACGCCACATGTAACACCCTCCACCCTCATTAATAATCATGAGCAGGTGACGTCACTCCACATCGAACAGCCCCTTCATTAATAATCATTTAGAGGTGACGTCTCAAAATGTACACCCCCGCCATTAATAATAATTAGCGGGTGACGTCACTCCACATGGGGGGGCGAGGGGTCTCCTCCCCCCTCCTCAGGGTCAACTGACAACCCTCACTACAAAGGCAGAACCCCACGTCACGTGATCTCCGTCACGCTGTTGAGACATAGCAGTAAAAATAAAAAAATTAACCCGTAAAAACAAAGTTTTTCACTCTAAATCCTTTATATGCGTGGCGGCTAGAGTCTTCTCGTCCTCTGGCTTGAGATGGCTGCCACCTATGGGTCAGATGATTGTCTGCAGTATTAAACAATTGGTAATTAAATATTTAATTTGTTTTCCCTAAACAGTGTAAAATTTTGGAAAAAAATTTTCACGAACATTAATTGTCTCGCACAACGAGTCTATGTGCAAAATGTCAGCTCGATTGGATCACGGGAAGTGCGTTAAAAAACGACCGAAAGGTTTGCACGGTCGTAAGCAAGCAAGCAAGCACGCAAGCGAACTTAATATAAAGGATTTAATGACGTCATGATGAACAAGGGATTATGGGGCCGTCCATAAATGACGTCACGCGATTTTGGCCGATTTTTGACCCCTCCTCCCCCCTTGTCAAACGGCGTCACAAAAAGTCAGACCCCCCCCCCCTCAAATATGACGTCACAAAGCTCTGCCCCCCCCCAAACCATATTTCCATTTTGAAAATAAAACATGCTTCAAATCGCTTTAAACTATTGTCATTGTAGTGCGTATTTAATGTGGCGCTGCACTCTGATGTAGGAGAAACACGTATTAAAAAGGCGTTGGAAAGCTTACATTTAGCATAAAATTTACTTGAAAATAGTCAACGTCTAACTAAAACTGCAGATGTTCAGAATATGATATTTCAATTCTCTTATAATTATAAAATACTTTAAACTTTGTAGTAGAACGAAGCAAAATGGAGAGTACAATTATAACAATCACATATTCATTCAATAGAATGAAAAGCCCTGGTAGAATCATTTGAATAAAAATGTTTAATAACAATCATTCAAAAGATTTACAAAATGTATCCTTCTCCATTCTCCCATGGAGAAGCAAAATGCTCTTTCATGGAATAAATAAAAGGTGACCTTAGTAAATTTATGTAATAAATTAGTTAATAATGAAAATTTATAAAAAAAAAAATAGTGTTATAACAATTATATTGGTTATATTTATTTAAAGTTGGACATTTTGATGAGACGTCACATTTCTCAAACCCCCCCTCGTCACACATCGTCACAAATGTCTGACCCCCCCCCCCCCCACTAGGTGTGTGACGTCATTTATGGACGGCCCCTATAACCTTTAAATGAAACTAGCTTTTTTGCCCGTACCAAGGACGGGTGTATATTGCATTAAATCTGAAATATCCAATAAAAAAATTGTTCAGCTCATCATTATTAATGAGGGGAGGGGGGGGTTGCTCCATGTAGAGTGACGTCACCCGCTAATGATTATTAATGAGGGGAGAGGTGCGGCATGTGGACTGCGCGACCTTCTTGTGCGTTCGTGTAAATCTCCACGCGGGCATGAATATTAATGAAGGGGGGGGGGGCTCTTTTGTAGTGACGTCACGTACGGATGTAGCACTGCTGCGTAATTTATTTTACCATCACTTTTTGTAAAGAAACGTCATATTTGAAGCGACAATGCGTAATGCGTCAAGTGTAAAAATCCACCCATCATGAATATTAATGAGGGGGGGGGGTGGGCCTCATGTGAGGGGTGGGCCTCATGTGAGGGGTGGGCCTCGTGGAGTGACGTCACGCACGGGACGGACAGACATTTCTCGGTGATTATAGTCGGTTATAAGTCTGTCACCGCGGCCTTAAAAATTGTACACGAATTGATGCAATGAATATCACGTCGCGGTCTGCTTTTCACTTGCAAGTTTCAGATTTACTGAAATACACCCGTCCTTGGATGGGCAAAGGTTAGTTTATTTATGCCGTTGGTTTCCAGTTTTTATAGAAAATAAAAAGGAACATTCTGGGATGTTGAGCCAATTTTACTTTTTCGGGCAAGTGCAACTCACGCAATTTGTTCTTGAATTCCGTTCGGTGCCATTGCACTAACCGCTTGCATCTCATGAATGCATCTGATGCAAGCAGTTTTTACTTTCAAACGACGCCAATATATATTGAAAAAAGTACGTTTGGCCAAACAATACCAAAATTTATTTGTGGAGTATTATTTCTCATTGCAAAAACATCATCCGTTTTGGCCTGAAATTATTAAGGACAATTTGGCTTTCACGAACAGAGCAATTATGCATTACCATTTGTTATCTTTTGCGACCTAAAAAAAAAATCAACTTTACTATTAAAATGAAACCATACAAGTTTAACAACCACACTGCGACTCGCTGTTGAAAACAACACAAATTGACTTTATTAAAACCATTGCACATTTTACTCGAAAAAAATTCAGAAAGACAACCAATTATACTAATTCTAATAGAAAATACAAAAATACAACACACATCACACACTTGTTATAGGGAACTCTCAGGGGGAACTTGCGGCAGTTTAATTACTACACATTTATCTTTGGGCAAATGGAGATGCTCGCAATTAAAATCATCCCAACACAACCCCGGGCACATCACACTAGCGTGTGATGTCCCACTCAGCCACCCCACTGCATGTGGCGTTCAGAACTCTGGAGACGACCCAGAGCGGTGTGATCCAATCTCTCGCGTCGTGACCACTCCGTGCTTTGTGCCGTACATCTCGGCACGTGCGGCCAATGGACCAAAGGGGTGAAACTCCACAAACGAACATTGACATTGAAGCTAAAATGGCCAAACGACGATCGTGCGTGGGGGGAAAAAAATATTTTCCAAATCTGACGCTTGGGCGACGGGCACACCACCCGGAAATCATTTTAGGGGTGTGCGATTGATCAGCGTGGACGTGCCGATTTGTCTCTCGCCGGATGCGATCGCTGGCCAGGAGACGTACGCAACGCCATGACCTGGGTCCCCCCCCATAGCCGCGGGAGGTGGTAATTGGTGACGCCATGAGCAAACTCCCCTGAGAGTAAAGTGGGCTTTAACAGTAAGATCACACAGTGCAAACAGGATTGCAGTGGGCACAGCAGCGTAGCCCAATGTTGACGTTAACATATATAACGCGGTGATTGCGATTCCGATTCGGATTGACACGTTATTAGCTTTGTAATTTTCCAAGAAACAGGCAAGCCCGTGTACATTCGTAACGCCAGCCCATTTCCCTTATAATGACAGCACACTTCGGATGGAGCTGGCGTTACAGCACTTTGAGAATCAAAGTTCAGGTGCAAATTAGTTTTTTTTACGATTGAAGAACCAAAAAAATATATACAACAAAACGCCAAGGTTAAATATTAAACCGTTAGAAAAAGAGATGAACGTTAATGAATAACCAAAAAAATCTTCACAGTGGAATGTTTTACATGGTTCGCGAATAATCTACTTTTGGCAAATCACCGACTTTTTTCAGTCACGTGAAGAGAGCGAGAAAACACGTGGACAGCTGTGCAATTTAAAGGCAAAGAAACATACGAGACGTTTCCACGTAGCAACAAAACGAAAGCAAGACCCGGGCACAGCGTCCTTCACGACGCATTTAGTGGACCAGTGGTATTGTGGCAAGTCCAGGTCAGGCATTCAAAGATAGTTTCCCACCAAAATGCACGCTTTGTAAAGAAAAAAAAAACCGCACGGTGGATCACGCTGGACTTCACCTCCGTGATATCGCTGGTGTAAACTATGCAATACAAAAGTGACAAAATTAACACATCGGTCATGTTAATTTTCAAGTAAGTTACAGTTGCTTTGTCACGTATCTATCCTTATTCAGAGAAAGAGGTTTGGGTGAGGTGGGGGGGGAGTTGCATACCAAGAGGATTTACAGCAGAAAGTTATAAGATTCCACAGGTACAGTCACAATGATGTGACCGTAAAACAGTTGATGATGTAACTTTCCTATGATCTTTCGATTATACATTTTGTCAGCGAGATTAAAGCGGGCACCAAAATTGCAGGCGGTGTGACAGGCGTCGGGCTTTAACCACGGTTTAAAAACCTCACAGAAATTGGAAACTAAATTCAAACGCAACAAATTGCACGGACGCTGCCGGTTGACGGCCTATTAAAATAACGGGCGTCGTTTTTTTAAAAACCGTCCACGTGAGGTTTCCACTAATCCAACGCTGTTGTTCCGAGTTTGTCGATCGTACACATTCAAGTTGCAAGATAATACACGGAGTAGAGGGGGGAAAAAAACCCCAACACGACGCTATAATCAAAACGAAGTAGCGTAAGACGATTCGGTGGAACGTCTGGGGAAAAAAAGTTGTGACTGTGCAAATTGGTGCCAGGAGATTATTACCGCAACCCCTCCCAACTCCCACAGCTCCCCCTCACTCTCTCACATATCATCTGCCAGCCACAAACACCGTCTTCTTTTTTTGGCATAAGCCCGTGGTGGTTAACGCCACCCGCGTGACAACCACACCATCAATCGTGCCAACTCAAACCACCCCCAGTGTTGCTCAACCGAAGCGGAACGCTCAAGTTCAGAGAATAACCATCGCTCCGCTGAATAAAAATGGGCGACAGCGAACCTCCCAGACGACAGAACGTTTTTGCCTTTGGTAATCAGGGAATAAGTCATTAGCTATTTAAATCTGTGTTGATAATCACCTCTTTAAATTGGCCTTTACCCTCTTGTAGTGGCCATTTGTACTGGTTCCATTTAATTTCCTGCTTTCCATACGCGATCTACAGATGAAATGCGCCTTATAAATTCAAATGTTTATTTTTAAGGCTGAAACTTGAGACTTGAAGAGAAATCCGACAGTGGGAGTTGGCTTTTGGATAAAAAGGAAATTTGCTTTCAGAGTAAGAATTTTCAAACGACAAGGTAACTGGTCATAACAAAGTGTGATTTGATGTCAAATTTCGGCTGCTAAACTGGATTATAACGGCGGCGCGGGGGAAACGATTGGTGCAGGCAAAACTTGAGAACGACAGAAAGTGACGCAACTACATGTAACACTGCTAAGTTGAAAATTAAAGTATTAACTAAAATGAAGTGAACAGTAAACAAAAAATTCCGACTGCATTGAAACTCAAAAGCGTTTTGGTGTAAATGTTGGCCGTTGCGTTGGTGGATTCGCGGTCGATCGACCCCCTCGCTAAACTTTTGACACCACGCTCGCAAGGCTCCTTTAATAAAACGCATCCACACCTCCTACACAGAGGGCAATGTTACATTTTCCTGAACGGCATCGGTGCTTAACGTCACTTGACAACTGCCAACGGATATCTTCACCCTCAGTTCAAAGTTTCACCCGTTCCAATTCGTCAGATTTGACCATCGGGTTCTGCTTTTTTTTACTTTACGTTGAAAAAAAAAAGACCATGAAACGAATGAATGTGGAAATCACAGCGGTAGGAGAACTTCTCGAAATAAAATCTCCTACCTGTAAACCATACCACCATTAACCCTCAGCATGTCTGTCACTGGGCTCGAGAAAGGCGGCATAGATCCTCCTCAACACTGCCAAAGAAGTGACCGTGCCCAGCCCTGCAATTTCGCAAAGGCACAAACGCCTATTTCACCGCGGTGGCCTAACCAACCGTGGCACAAAGTGCACTACCGTACGCATCGTGGCAAACTGGCAGCCCTCTCTAAGGTGCGGCATACGCGTTTTATTTTGGCAAGGCGTGCGTGCTTGCCACCTCCATGTTCAACTCCGCTGGCAGACGGACTGAACGGTGGCGGCGACCACGTCAAGCGTGCAAAGGTAGAGGGGGGGGGGCTAATGTTACAAGCTAGGATTTTTTAGTTTTTTCGCCGTTGGGAGCGAATAAAAATAGAAATTATTTCACGACGATTTTGGCTTTGCCGGCAGACGCGGTGGTAGAAAGCAACTAACCATCGTCAAAAGCTGACATCAAATCCGTTGACAACGTGTAAGAAAAGCAGTAAGAAAAATTTAAGACCACTCTTGCACTGCAGCTACTATGCAACGTTTTGTAGTTGTACTCTAGCTCTCTCTGTGTGCTTGGGAGCTTCTTTAGGAAATAAATTCCTCCACACACTGGGAGCTTCTCGGGGAAATTAGTTCCCGAGCATAGCTCCCAGGACAAGGAGCGAAACACCGGACACCATGCCTGATAATACGCGGCACAATCCGAAAACACCATCCGGGAGCTGCTCCGTTTTGCCATCGGCAGCAACGATGACGACGACGACGACGTTGAATTGACACTTTAACGTAACAGCGACGATGGTCGCGTGTTTTCTCGCGTAACCAAGGCGTTTTTTCATGCGATACCCTGCAGAATGGGCCAAACCACAAAGGTTCTTTCTTGCAAGTCAATTGCTCGACTACAATGACAACCATTCGGAGTCACTGAAGGTGAAATTCTGACAACAAAGAAAACGTAACCAAAAAAAAGATTGAAATATTAAAAAAGGAAAAATACAAAATAACCACAGTTGTCCGACAGTAGGTTACAAGTTTTGCGTGCGAGCGTGTGGGTGCTTGCGTGAGAGGTATGTAGCGGTTTCACTGACCTATCGAATTTATGCCCATGCTGCACGCATAGCATCATGCTCTTGCAGAATTATTACTATTTACTGCACACCATATGCACAACATAACGCTGATGATACATGTAGTGAACGAAACAGCACGGAACTGAAAAAAATAATACAACCGAGACGGTCAAAATTATACTGAAAAAAAAATTGTTGATCCAACAATGCAACTAATCAAGTGAAATAAATCGGTGGGAAGCAGGCTGGTGACAACGTTGAATGAATGAATCACTGGACTGGAGGGGGGGTGGTGAATGGTTACGTGTCGATTGTGCGTTGTGCGATTGGGAATGCCGTGCGGTAGTCGGAGTGTGCGCTGCCCATACACCACGACGTCAAGCAGTAGCAGCAGCAGCAACACAGCGAACCTCCCACCACCGTCAAGCTTCGGCACAGTTGTTGTAATAGCTGTGTGGTGGTAGTTGTGGTTATTGTGGTGGCTCTCCCTCTTTCTCTAGGACTGCGGCGTGGTGTACGGAGACACCGAGAATCCTGGACGTCCGTGCACCAGCAGCGGCGACGCCGACCTCGTATTGCTGTTGCGGATGGAGCCATAGCGCCCGGGGCTGCCGTACAGACCGCACATGCTCGATAGGCTATGGGGTCACACAGATAAAGACAAAGATCCCCCCCCCCCATATGGCCGTTAATACACTGTTTGGGGCAAATGCGATGAGCGAGTGGGCTGGTAAGAAGGCTGGCACGGCACACGACGGGGTGAGTGGTCAGCACCATGCCTTGTCGCCTTTGTATCCCCAGTGCTAATGGTTAAGCGCTGCATGAAGGTACTCATTTAAGGCTGACTTGATCTCGGGGAGTCACAAGATCGGGTAATAATTTATCACCCTTGTTGGCTGCGAGCGGGAATCAAAGTTGGGTCGCAGTGCGCTTAACCCTACACGACCGCTCCCCCCATAGGGGCATGCACGAAGCATACAGACCAACAATGCTCCAGATTAGCTGCATACTTGGCATTTTACCCATTTAAACATATTCTCTCCCAAAGTTTACCCTACCACACACATCCTGCCATCGAGCACCTACACACACCAGACGAATTTATTGCCCATCTCCACGACGGATATCCTCTCGAGCATCTGCCCTCCCTATTTTATTACCCCAAAGCGGTCCATTATCGTTTCGTAATTAGCTATTTACGATTCGTGCAGTATTTTATTGGTTCGTGATTCACATAGTAGTTGTAGTAATGGATTTACTGGATGGAAATTCAACAGTGATACTTTAGTCAGAATGATATATTGTAATGACGAAATGAAATCCACTGGCTAAGACTTGACTAGATTTCCACATTTGTCAGACTGGACCAAGACGACAATGACTAGAAATTCCGACTAAATTAACACTGCCTCAACGTTTGACAATTTCCACTGCCTATCAGAAGCACTCACCTCCCAATGAGGCCGTTGGGATGGGCTCCCAGGGGTCGCGTGAGGTCATCCTCGCTGTCGTACCTTCGCGGGTTGTCGAAAAAATGAACACGGGAGGCAAAGCCACGCACGCCGATCACTCCGGCAGCAGACTGCGGGGAAGAGACACGTCAATTACTGGAGTTCTGTTATTGTTACTATTATATTGCTTTATTTGTCATATCCCACCCAATTGTATCCCTATCGTGCTATCGGCATCATGTTATCAGACGAAGCAATCCATGTGCTTCGCTCTCACACAGCAATGTATACCTCCGTGTGAGACAAGACCCCCCGAAGCGGACATCACAGAGCTACCTCTAGAGAGCCTTAAAAGTCACCTCTGGTCCACACTTCTTCACCCATTCAGCATAGGAGAGTAATGTTCCATCACATTGATATACCAAAACGAAATTTAATTTAATTATAGAGGATTTATTAGTCAAAAGGATTAAAACCGATTTAATGCAATGTTTTTTTTTGTGCAAGTCATTCATTGATGACCGGCTGAGACCATCAACCCGGTTTGATCAAAGGATACCGAAACTTGCAATGTAAACCCAGGCTTTCACTAGCGCAGCCTGAACGCTCTCACACAGTATTCGAGTTAGTGCCTGCTGAGACTCAAAGGTCCTAAGAGGCACCTGCAGAATTCCCACAGTTCATTGTGAACATCTAAAACCACAGCTAGGGTTTCCTTCCTGCACGATATGGAAATGGCGGGATAGGGAACTTTGGGCATGTGGCTCCTCGACTGCCCTTGACTGACCCTGGTGGATGGTAGGCACATCGGCCTTGTGCCTACATCCGTACATCCGATCGACCCTCAAGTGTCGGGGTTAGGAAGGGATCCCCCGGGGGGGGGGGGGGGGGGGGCTATGCCAGGAGGGACCCTTAGGATGAGAGTTTACTTGGGAACAGCGGACCCTGCTCGTCGCCCTCTCGTCGCACCTGATTGGCTCACAAGTGACGACATCACATTCACCCCCCCTATTTAACTCCGATACAGGAGGAGGATTTCCCCACAATTCTGGTCGTTGCTTGATGAGGCTGGTTGTAATTACCAGAAAAATGTCGTACTCGAATCGTAAATGTTGTGGTTTTACTCTTCAACACACTGGTGTATTGAACTCGTAACTAATTGGCATGTTTTATTTATTTAACAAACCTTACTAATTGTCTGTGTCGGGTAGCGGTGGGTTTAACGACACATTCATATTTACGTGATCTAACCCCAAAAAAACCCTCGGGCGTCAATGTGCGACGCTCGCAGGGACAATTCCCAGAGTGGCGGTGGGGGCGTGAAAGGAGCCCGATCGTCGACGAAACCCTCTCTATCGGGTTTAAGGTTGGCAAGTGAACGTTACCAGGTTCTGGTTAGGCTGTCGGACGCGGAAGAAAATGACGACAAGGCCGGTGGGCAGCAGCTCCCAGACGAAGAGCACGACCCCGAACAGCACAAACTTGCTGTTGGTGTGCAGCTCCTGCAGGTCGGCCTGCCAGTGACATGGGGTGAGCGAGAGAGAGAGAGAGAGGGGGGCGGTTGTGGGTGAGTGAACGCAAACGCCCACGCCAAGCCGCACCACTGGGAACCCGGATTGTACCACGGCGTTGTCTTTAAATCTTTACAGATGTTAACCAAAGAGAAAAACACAAACGGCAGCACAATTGAATCAACTTGAACCCCAGGATTGGAATGCTCATTCTTCTCTACCCAACCCTCCCCCCTCGCCTCCACCCAACCCCCTGCCACCACTACTTACCACACATACCACAGATGTGAATACACGACAAGGCCTATTTAAAAGGTAAACGACGACTATAATGGTCAGCATTAATCAGACTTTGGTCGGTGTTTTATCTACAAATTATCAGTAACAGAGTAAGATATGGTAAGTATAGCTCTGTATCCAACTCTGTAAGAATTGTGCCCGTTGCTCAGTCTTCTCTAACACTGTGCTGCCGTGAACATACGTGACTACGTGACAACAGCCACATGGTCCACTGTTAACATTTCAATAAAATAGGCGCTCCTGCTGCTGCCCGACGCAACCACATCCAGCCATATCGCTTTTGCACAAATAAAGACAAGGGTGCGTTGTTTATTGCTGTTTAAACTGGTAAATTGAATGATTTTTTTTACCAACAGCATGTTATTGTTTATTTGTTACTAAAATAACATCAATCAACATCAGTGCGGCGGTACAAGTCTGCTCCCCTAAACAGGAAACCGACGATTAACCCATGCGCTGAATTATTGACTCTTGTTTGACGTTTGTCGGTGCGCACCAATAACAAACAGTGGCCCGATAAGACCGGTTCTGACCGCACAACGAGTGAAGAAGATATGAAAATCAAACTTCTTAGTTTATCTAGTAGGACCCACTGAGCGATGTAGCTCTTTTTAAGAAGCAACCTGGCTATCACAAATGATAGCTCAAAGAAGTGGCTCATCACGTGGAAATTCATTGCAGCCAAATACTCTGAATGCAAGTTTCTAAATGTGGAGGGAAAAACTGGAGGACCCTGAGAAAAATCCACGCAAATACGGAGAGAGAAACATGCAAACTCCAGATATATAGGCATCAGAGCGGGATCGAACCCACGCCCACCTGCTTGCCAGGCGAGAGAGTTAACATATCTCCACCGCGGCGTTCTGCAGCTACAGTGCCAGTCTCCCAACGTGCACAGCACGTCGTGTTGTAGATTTATTTTAAAAGGCGCAAGTCCAAGTGCAGTCATGTCACTAGAGGGCGCAGTGACAACGTTTGAGCCGCGTTGCTGCGACTTCAAAACTATTTCTTCTCACAAAGGAAGGCTCAAACTGCAGCGAGGTATATATCTGAATAATTCAAGCTGTTTTGTTGTTTGACTTGTTTGTTTTTCGAGTCTAAATGCATGGCATCCAGCCCCCCTCATCAACAAAAGTGGCACTTTGAAATGAAATATTGATAGCGCAAGGGTTAACAAGCTACAATTTCAAGAACATTAATGAACTACATCGACACCTTCATTATTATATTTTGTTGAATGATGCTATTTGTTATGAAGTAACACCTTATTTGGCTACATAATAGTAAAACAAATGAAAGTTGCGGAAATAAATTACCAACAACGAATCCAACACCTCTCCTTTAGAGAACATGAACGCAAGCAACGTTTCACACACAAAGACAGCCACAAACTTTAAATGAATTTAAACTATTAATTCAAAACTAACTTTCATTCAAACCAGTCCAAATTATTGCCAGTACAGTAAAAAACATAAATAACACTGCCAGTATGGTGATCTTCCATCGCTAAAAAAGACACTCAACCCAAGTTGCTCACCACTTTTCCTATGCCTAATAATGAACTCTCCCTCCGCCTGCCTTCTGGCCAACTGCTACCCTCCACCACCACCTGCCCCTCTCACTGCCCCTGCCTGACAGCCCCTTGCAGGCCCTCCACCCACCCACCCACCCACTCCCGCCTTTTCTTGCCTGTCACATATCTCCCCGCTGCCCTTTGGCCTCGATCTGAACCCCTGCCTGCCACCTCTGCCTGTAAGCTGATGCTTGGTGCGTTAGAAAAAATGCACTTTACTTTTTCAAAGCCCTTTGTCAATCCACTACATTGCTGTGTTGGTCACGGGGGTTGGGGGGGGGGTTCTTTGACCATACTTAACCATGTTGGTCAGTGCAGTTAATAAAAAAAGAGGGGGCAACATGACAGGTTTCAGATATCACTTGCCAAGGATTTAAAGCTTTGTCAACTATCCAACACTGTTTTGACAGCTTCTTATAGTGTGATGCCCTAACCACTATGCCAGCAGTATTTCTATTTAAAAAAATACCACTGCCACAAAAAGTATAATTGCTTTCGGGTCTCATGATGCTTGGCAATAGGTGTGTTAATAACAGGCACGCCCTAACTATATAATAGGAACACACAAAAGGGGTTGAGATTATGGCTTGCAATTGGCCACAGCCGTGTTGCGGTACCTGGTCGGACACGTTGTACCAGTCGTAGTTGAAGGATCCTGGAGCGGACTTGGCGAGCACCACCAGGTTGTAGCAGGCGCGTGTGGCGTACAGCAGGATCACCAGCGTGCCCACCGTCACCGCCTGGCACACGGACGTGCCCTGCTCGCAGGCAAACGAGCACATGCACGGGAGGTGGGCGTCCAGTTAGGCAAGCTCATGGACAAAGACTCCCGGTGTAGCCTTTAACAGGCTGTTGCTGCGAGTGCTATTCGCGAGCACAGATTATAATGGCTGGCATAGTACACACAAATGGGTGGTGTGGCCAGTCTCCCCAGTGCTGATGTAGACACACGGAACCAGGTATTCATCGAAGGTCGAGTCGAACGATGAGAGGTCCTGCGCTGGTTCCGATCACACTTTTCTACTACTGATGTTAACGCTGGCCAGCTATCGCAACCAGGTATCTAGGTTTTGGCTAACCACTCTAATACAATTCCATACAGCAGTAACCACTGCAATACTGCTCCACAGTACGGTGGTTAGAGTGGACGCACGGACACATGCAGACATACACAAATGTATTGGCGGTACATCGGTGTGCGGTATGAAAAAAAAATGCTCCAAATAATTATTTATCTTCCCACGATTCACAACACCGGCCAGAAATTTTTGCGGGGGGTGCGTTTAAATCAGTTTTTGTGATGTCAAAGCAGTCGGAAGACGAATGTTATGAGCAGCTCGATTTGGTTGGATGGTTCCTTGACTCATTTACAAAATCATTTCTTGGTAGACGGTGGCATCAAAAGATTATGACTCATGTCACACATTCGAATGGGGAAGCAGCTGCTGAATCGATGTCAACTTCTGATGGGGAAACTGCAAGTTACTCAAGGACAACAGCAACATCGTCAGACTGTTTGAGGAGGACCGGTGTGTTATGCTGCAGCGGTGTATTGCCAATACGTTCATATGGATAGACACACCTAATGACTACCACAGGGCATAAACACAGGGTACACACACAGGCACATTCACGACCGAGAGAAACATGGGTGCACACAGACACATGTGCACACATTGACACACAAACACGGACATACAGTATAACACGCTTGGTAGAAACATGCACGTGAAAATACAGACTGCACATACTGAACAATTGCACTGTAAGAACAATGGCAAGAAAATAATCATCACTGCAATTTAGCACTCAAACGATTGTTGTTGTATGTAATATGCTATGGTCTATCTCTGAAACGGTATACTCAATATCCACAAAAACAACAATAAACCAAACGGAGTAACAGACAATTATAATGTTTACTGAAGTTGTAAATCTGTTGAAGTTGTGTAATAAACAGGTTGCAGTGGCCTTCCTTTGCAGACTTAGATCTAAACATGAATGATAGATGAAGAAGAGGGGTCAGAACACGTGTCCTTTGATCGGCCGTAATTACAGCGTCATCATTTTCCAAATCGCTCCGCAATGGGGTACGGTCGCCAGGTTGCGATGTTTTATAATGAGGGCAATTACGTGCGGGAACACATTTTTGCGCCACTGCCCTATTACCATCGAGGCATCTGCAGGAAGGGCTGCGAAATAAACTCCGCGGATAGCAGCTTGTGTCCAGTAGAGACGGTGGAGTGAAGGGGCGGACACGGGGGGCGAGAGCACGGCGCAGCACGCCGGCGTGACGCCTTTCGTGTCCTCAAGATGTATGGCAATTTCATTATTTTCTTCTTCTGCAGTGTTCGCTTTAATTTGAACAGGGGGGGGCATTGTACGAAGGTTATTGAGCACGCTCCTTTGGTAGGAAATAATCTGCAAGGCGCCACACCCCAGCACCCCCTTCAATGAAGATCATATTTTCTTCCTTCTCGAAATGCACTCGTGTTTGAGAATTTCATCATGAGAACGTCATCGTCTATGCAACGCCTGTTTCATTTCTTTACCCCACGGGGCCAATAGGGAAAGGCCAGTCGCTTCCAAAAAGAGCCAGCATTTGGTACCTCTACAGATAAAACAACAGGTCTTTTATAACGCGCGGCACACGATGGCTTCTCGATGCCTTATTCTCAAACCGCTAAGCTTGCATTGGGGCCACACGTCTGAAGACAGAACTAAAATGTACAATTATTATATGTATCAAATAAAAAGAACCGTTAAATGTTGTTACGGATTTTAGAAAATAAAGTCAATAATACCGCTCCATTAATAATGATAAAAGTGGAAAAGCATTATTACTTTCATTGCTTTATACGTAATATTTTAGTAAAAGCACTACATTGAAAAATCACAAAGCCATTACTGGATAGCTCTGACATAATTGGTACACATATAATATTTCCACGACCATAACGTCTGGAAATAAAATAACAGGCTGCAAAACATCGAGATAGAAAGGAAATTACCCAATCAGCCAATTGTTAGTCAAAAAGTGTTTTCCAACGGCAAAATGAAAAAAATTGCAATTTATTTGCACAAAACCTGCAGCCAATTGTTTTGCGCAAACACACTGTAATGCCACCTTACTAAATAATTCCATTGCCATGTTATTTCAGGAGTGGACAATGGGATGTTGTTGTCCATTATTTGCACGCCAAGTCTCCCTTGACAGAGAGCAAATTGTCACCCTTTAGTAAGTTCCCATACTTGCGCATGGTATGCACGTCTTAAGTCACCAGCCTTTAAAATCCTGAATGTAACGCAGTGCACGATTGTGTCGTATGGAGGAATAGCAACATGCTTTTGTGCGGTTTTACGTTTTGATTTCCAGTCAATAGATTCGGGAGATGCAGAGTGAATTTCAAAGATGTTTCCGGGAAAATTAGGACAGGGGACAGTTTTTTCTTGTATGTTCCATTGAAATTGTGATATGCAGACGTGTAACGATTCCCCTGTACTCCCACCTTGCCCCCAGTGATTCTACAATTGTCACAATTCGATTAAAGAATTTTTTTTTTACATGTGGTAAATATAGTCGTCACTCGTGGCTACAAGGGGTCACGTGAACCCATTACAAAAAACACATGCGGATTAAAATAAACACATCGATTTTTACACATGCAATTCGATATGTTTCCCGCAAGCTCAAGAATCAATATTAATTAATCGATGCATTATTACACCTCCGGTGATATACAAAAAATAATTGTGACAACGGGTAGAACGGTGGCACAATCGTCAGCTCACTGCGATATAAATCCGGCAACCCGAGTCATATTCATGTAAATATTATTGTTTTTGCGCTTGTTATTTTACACATTCCCACCCTACAATATCCTGTAACTGCCGCCACTGCCGAATGTCTTGGGCTGTGGTCGGCCTCGTAAAAGTGTTGTTTAGCTCAATAGGGCCTTGACAACTGAGATATACTTTGAGTTGGAATCTCCAGTAGCGAGTGATCTCCAAATCAGTCCTGTATCCCAGCTTCATTAAACCCGACGACTGGCACAGCATGGGCACGGTTTTATCCAGTAATTGGCTGACAAAGGGCAGAAAATTAATCCGTATCTTTTTTATTAGAAGAAAACATTTTACCACCAATTTTCAAACCGGTGATCTTGATACTGTGTTTGCCTGCATCTGGCTATAGATGGCACACATTGGTTCGCACAACCGCACGCTGTTTTTCCAGCTCAATCATTTCCAAATCGCATCCCCTACATCCATCCCATCCACTCGGACCTTCCTGCCTCACATCCCACTAATGGAGGAGGTGTACACACTTAAGTTAACCCGAGGCAGCAAAACAAAAACGCTGACCTTGAGCAGCCGGGTACGAGGACCAAGAGGAAGTTATACTGCGTTTGTTTTGCTTGCTCCAGTAAACTGTGTGGTTTAGATCATATCGGTGCGTGCACTTGTACTAAATATGAACGAATAGGCAGACCTGGAGGGCACTCAAAAGGGGGCACGCGAGTTTTCTCTCCGTGCCATCTTTTAAACTGTTAGTAAAACCAGCATGACCGAAAATGTAAGTGTCCTATATTGATGCTAAATACTATTTATAGTCACGTAGAAGGGAAATAATAAAATAATAAAAATAAATTATAATAAAATACAATTTCTCGCGATGTTTCGGCCACAACGCAAGCAGCCGTCCTCAGGTGAAGAACAGGTCTGTCAGAAAGAATTCAGACGCTGTCTTTCTGACAGCCCTGTTCTTCACCTGAGGACGGCTGCTTGCGTTGTGGCCGAAACGTCGTGAGAATTGTATTTTATTGTTTTATTTTTATTATTTTATTATTTCCCTTCTACGTGACTTTACCAAAAGAACCAAGAAGATGAATCCCTGCAGTCACGAAAGCTTTAAATCGAAAAATATTATTTATAGTTTGTTATTGCTTAATTTTTCATGTTAAATTCAGGTCTGCGTATCAATCAAACCAATATTTGTAACGTGCCAGTCATTAAAAGCCGTGATGGAAGTGCTGTTGGATCCCGCTTTGATGGTGATTCGTGGAGCAATGGTGCAGCAGTTAAAGTACTGCGCTACAAGCCTGTAAAATCTGAGTTTGATACCTGGCTATGTTGATCTGACTAACAATCGATATCGCACATAACACCTCATTCATGGAGTGACTGACGTTTTATAATTGGGGCGACAGGAAAGCGGCGATGATTTATTTTCCACACGTGCGGTGTTTTCAACGAGCTGGGAGTGGATACGAATGCTTGTCGTACACGGGCAAGGGTTCTGGAGCACAACGGATTTTTGTGAAATATCATACAACAAACGAGTAATAAGTCTACCAATTGGGATATGGCTAATGTTATCCTCTTGCACGTGCGATAGGTTTTATACGGGGGCCCTCCAGTTTCCTCCCACATGCAAAACCCTCCTGAGAAAGGATTTGGTTAAATCTCAAATTTAAGGCCGACCTTGAAAAAAGTCTTCAGACTATGAGGCTTCGTTATCAATAAATTACATTATTTATAATTGATCACGGGGTGATGTCTTATATAAAAAAAACTATCACGAATCGTAATATTGGCTACGAAAACCTATCTGTTAAGACATAATTTTTTATTACAACTACTATATAGAGCCCGCCAACGCCAAGTTGCAAAATCCAAGCAAAAATGTCAACGTTGACCGCATTATGTGTTATGTTGAACTACATAGACAAAGATACCCCGTATAGCCTGAACAGAC